CTTCTTCGTCTGAAGCTTATGTCCGAAGCATGGCGAGGAGACTAGAGGACGCAGTGTCTTGTTCCCTTCTCAGGGAACCATGGTTACATACGTAACCTGAGACGTTCCCTTCCAAGGGAATTTTGAACTGCGTCCTCTAGAGGTCGCTATGGGGAACGGTATACCCACACCGCCATGCTGAGGGGAGTGCATGCCAGAAACCACTGCGAGCACTAAGTACCAACTCCACCATAGCCATGGGAGTTGCCCCTAGGACGCCTTGACGGCTGTCAGTGCCATCATCCCCTACGGCCAAAGGCCTGAGCTATGCGCCAAAGAACTTACCTGTAAGGGGCTGGCTTGAGGAAACCTGAGCCCAGGCCAAAGCTCAAGGCTTGGAATCGAAATAAAAAGGATTCCTTTAAGGGGATACGGCCGAGTATCAGGGCTTACATAAACCCATATCTTGGCCTGTCACGCGGGGGCTACCTTCTGCTCTTAAAACGTGCTGCCCAAGGATCACTGGATACTCCAGGAACTTAGTAGCAAGCACCCTGCCTAAAAAGGGTACACACGGAGAGTGGGGCCCAAGGTAAGACCGGGGCCAGAGCCAACTCAGAGAAAGGGGATGAGGCCAGCATGGCGTCACCCCTACCATAAAGGATTTTAGAAAGGTGTGCAAAATGCTTAGCGTGTACACCTACCATGAACAGGGTAGATGTAAATACCCACAGAGGGAGGTGAGCAGATGTTCTATGTTTTGCTCTGGTCCGGACGAGAGTGTTGAGAATGTCTCGTCTGGATCACTTCCCTCAGATCTTGCCTCTGACCCTTCGAGTCGCGACACTAGCCTTCTGGACCTGCCTCTGATCCTTAGACTGAGACAGGCCAGGACCCCTTTGTTGTTCGGGCTGAGACCTGGGCCTTCGAGGAATGAAGGACTTAAAAGCAGCCGAGCACGCCTTCGCCTCTTTGAACTTCTCGACAACCGTCTCGACGGAAGTGCCGAAAAGCTCAGAAAGAGAAACCGGTGCATCAAGGAGAGAGCCCATCTCTTTCGTCCCGATGTCAGCCAGGTTCGCCCACAGATGTCTCTCCATAACCACCATAGCCGCCATAGATCTGCCAATGGCAGTAGCTGTCTGTTTGGTGGCATGGAGAGCGTGATCCGTGGTGCGGCGCAGCTCAGCTACTTCATCAGGGGAAAGACCCTGACCCTTATCCAGGTCTCACAGCAGGTCAGATTGGTAGGCTTGCAAAATTGCCATGGTGTGCAATGTAGCCGCAGCCTGACCTGCTGCTGCGTATGCCTTGCCATTCAGACGAGATGTTACTTGAAGGGGTCTGGATGGCAAAGAGGGAACCTTAAGAGAAGATGTTTCTCCCATAGAGAGATAGCAAGCCAGCGTCTCTTCAATTGGAGGCATTTTCTCATATTCGCTTTCGTGCATCTCCTCGACATTAGCATAACTAGTCTGCTGGAATCTGTGAATGCGTGAAGAGAACAGATTTTTCCAAGTCTTCTCAATCTCCACATGAAGATCGGAAAGAAATGGAAGGTTCACCTGAGCTGGAAGGCTATGATCACAAAGATAGCGCTCGTCGAGACGACCACAAGGCGCCACCTTCCTGGTTCGCTTCCATAACCTCAAGAAGCTCCTCATACGCAGGGCAGGAGGTTTAGGAGGACTCCCTTTTATACTGTGGTCGTGCCGGTAATGATGTCGTAGGCTGTCGCCGGCCACTGTCATTGTCGTGTTTAGATGTATGCTTTAGACACCGGTCATGCCGAAGGCGTTCCCCATAGCGACCTCTAGAGGATGCAGTTCGAAGTTCCCTCGGAAGGGAACTAAATTTTTTAGCAGCAATAGGGCCTTTCGCACCGCTTTAGTTCCAGAACTAAATGTACAGTACTAAAGTACTGGGAAGATTTTGCGCGAACTATTTCCCAGTACCATTTAAAGGGTTGCATTCGCACCGACAGTGTGTACTAGGAAGTGACGTAAGCCGGTCGACAGCGACGTCATTTGTGCGCGGCGTTCAACAACGGAAACAAAGAAGAACAATGTTAACAACAGGAGGATGGAGGACGCTGTGATAGGAGCTGTGTTTCTGTCTCGCGGGTTTTACAGTAATGGACATGGAATGTCGACGTATACGTAAAGCGATTGAAAGAACGGAAAGGAGGACTAAGAACCTCCAACGACAGCTGGCGAGGGCTTTTCGTACGCGTTTGGCCAATCAATGTCTACTTACGTCACGGGTAGTACCAGTTGTGCTGATTAGACCCTGCTCCGGAGTAGGAGCTAATTTGGTTCTCGAAAAAGGCAGTCCGGTACTAAAATCGCACCCAGTTCCGGTGGTGCGAAAACGCCAAAAAGTGGGTAGTTCCACAATTAGTTCTGGTACTATGAAAAGGTTCCCGTGGTGCGAAAGGCCCTTATTACTCCAGTCTTCAGTGTCACATGCTCATTTGGTACTCAGTTATTAATAATGGTTCTTATTATTATCAATGTAAACAGAAAGTTGAAAACAGCATTTATTTAAAAACAGAAATCTTTTATAACATTATAAATGTTTTTGTTTTATAAATGTTTCAAGAATGTCTTTACTGTCACTTTTGATCAACTTAATCAATTCAGTTTGCTGATTTCTTAAAAGCCTTACTAACACCAAACGTTTGAATGGTAGTTTCTTGAACAGTGTATTGAAATTATTTCTGGAGGACCATGTGACACTGAAGTAATGAATCAGCTTTGCCATCACAGGAATAAATTACATTTGAAATTACATTAAAATAAAAAATATTTTCAATTGTAATAATATTTCACAATATTTTTACTGTATTTTTTGATCAAATAATATTCATAACACCTTATTTTGCATCATTTTACCCTGGAAATGAATTCCATAAAACAAACAAATAAAATAGTAAATTCTGATGTATAATAATATACAACAATAGTAACAATAGTAAAAATCTACTACATTAGTGAAAGTAAATGTGACCTCTTTCTCTCTTGATTGGCTTCATCACTCTGTCTCCTCTCCACCAATAAGCTGGTGTGTGGTGGGCGTTCTGGCGTACTATGGCTGCCGTCACATCATCCAGGTGGATGCTGCACACTGGTGGTGGATGAGGAGATCCCCCCCTCACAATGTAAAGTGCTTTGAGTGCCTAGAAAAGCACTATATAAATGTAATGAATTATTATTATTATTATTATTACTATTATTATTTGTGACTGCTGTGATCAATCTCTCTAGAGTATTTTTTTCCCTCTTGTGGAAAGTCATGGCAACGCGATCGTGATTTATTTTTCTGTTATAGCAAATAAGAATGCAAAAATTATTATTTGCCATGGCCTTCCATTTACCTCTATAGAAGTTTACCACACTATAGTTTACATCCGTGTTCCAAACCTGTAAATGTAAAAAGCATGTCTAAACAAGTCAGGTGGCCAGTTAAGTCATGATTATTCCAAATTTGGTACCCAACAAATACGTTATTCTCCTGTGCTGGCAAGGTAGCTGCAATCACCAGACATGTAGGCTACTTCCAGACCTCTAAGAGCAGGGGTTTGTGAGATGCAGGAGTAACAGGGGCAATCATCTCAGCAGGACACATGACTGCTTATCTGACATCCTGAATGCAGGTGCACAGAGAAAGTAGGGAAATTTCATCTCTGCTTCTGCTTAAAGCCCAGGTCTCCAGTGGCGACGACCCTACCTTGCCACATTTACAGAGCCATTACAGTGCATTGTAAGCCCTTGTTAAAGTGCACAATTTACCACCATCCACTTCCATTCCCTGCGGGCCAAAACCTATGACTGTAAATAGGACAACAACATCAGTCGCACTTCTTCAGTTAAATGATTTGTTTGTTTTCCATTTGTGCTGCTAGATGTGCTTTTGAGTTTTTTCTCATATTGTTTTTGGCTATTAGGTTAAACCATTTTGGACCAAAAAAAAAAATGCATTAACTTCGGTTACATAAATGAAATGATAGGCCTGGGTTTTATTTGATGAAACATTTGTAAATTGTGCTGAAATTGCACATTCTTCATATCCTCAGTGTATTGGTTTTGACAGTTGTTACTTGGTAATCTATCTATCTATCTATCTATCTATCTATCTATAGGCTACATGAATTTTATCAAAACTGGCAAAATATTAAGTAATATCCCAGGTGTTTCTTCATTTTTCATTTTTTAAAGAAATTTACACTCAAAACATTTTAATTGGTGATACAATTATATGTTTATTCCTCAATATCAATTCATACTTTTTTTTAGCAATATAATTTTAACTAAAAAAAAAAAAAAGTTAATAATGCCATAATCCTCCAGGAAGTGATTAGAATGTCGTGGAAAAGTTAATTTATTTCAGTAATTCAACTCAAATTGTCTTCAGTCTGTGTGCATTGAATTTATTTAATACACGAGTTTCACAATTTGAGTTGAATTACTGAAATAAATGAACTTTTCCACGACATTCTAATTTATTGAGATGCACCTGTATAACCATGCAAACATTAGCAATTTATTTAATGACCTCTGTGATTTTTTTGTGCTATTTGTTTGTACATTCTGTGCAGTTTGATAAAAGTACAAATTGTTAAACTGCCGTTCATTTTTTCTTTTTTGCCATCGTATAAATAATCAAGGTATCGTTCATTGTTTCAGTGCCTGTATTTGGCCAAAACATATTTCTAAAAGACTGATATAAGTATCCTACTTTCTTTAAACGACTTGACAAGCATTATTTCTTTCTTTCTTTTTTTTTTAAAATAGTACAAAAACAAAAAATTAAGATATTGCATAACATGAATGATCCAGCTGTTAAGTGTAGAATGCAACCGCACAATGATCAGGTTCGTAGCTTACAGAGCACATGTGAGCAGATGTTGGGTCAGGACGGGAGGAGGAGGAGGAGGTGATTCAGGCGGGTGTGCTCAGTGACGTACGGACTCTCAAATAAGTACGAGCGTCCAGTGACCGACAGAGCAGAGCACACTTTAACATGTATCCTCCTGACAGCTCATCAAAACACTGGCCATTTCCCCATTACACAGGCGTTAACAGCGATCAAATCAAGCAATAACATTATTTTTTGGGATTTTTTCGACTCAGAAATCAAGCCTTACAGTGGACCATCTGATGATCAAACATCGATTGCAACAGGTAGGTTCACTGTCTTGCATCTCCCGTTTGTAGTAATGCGGGTAAACTTTCGTGCTTTATCAATCGCATTGCAGTGTTTCATTCTGCGCGTGTGTTTGCTTACAGTATGCGTGCAGTGTTCACTATAAAATGACGCAAGCGGGTTAATTAATGAAAGAATGCAGAACATTTTATTCATTCACTTTTAAGCGGCACTACGAGCCATGAGGATGAAAGTTGTAACCCTCTGAGACCCAAGCGTTGAAACTGATATTTTTCTTCACATTGAAACAAACCACTCATTATAAAATAGTGACAATCATTATGTACTATGTAGCTATATTTTTCTGTTTCACAGTTATTTTACTCAGCAAGTAAGCTATTGGTTTTGAATATTACATTACAATATTACATGTACATTAGACTACAGTTGGTGAACAGAAACCTGACTATTTTGACTGTTGTCCTCAACTAATAAATATATTAAAATGACTAAGACAATTAAGTCTTTCATCTGAATAACCTGTCAGTACTCAGTACATCTTGAAACTTGATTTTTTTTTTTATTCAAATAATAAAACTACTCTCAGTGATCATAGTTGCATAGGCCTATATTTATTACCATTTAACAGAAAATAACACTTGTTTTAAGCGCATAAGACAAAAATGACAGGAACAGCACAGAAAACTGCTAGAAATCATAAAATAGTTTACTTATGGTTCAATGAATGGGCCACATTAATCTGTTGTACAGGTCAGCTGCTGTTATGTGTAGTTTTTAATTTGTGACTGAGATACAAGTCTATAAGTACAGTAATACATAGCCTACTGTTTAGATTTCCATGAAATACGATAATAGTTAATATCATCCACTGAAGAAATAAGGAATACACAAAAATGACCTCCAACAGCATTTTGCGCAGTGACTGTGGTGGTCTAATAAATGTAGATCTACCTTATGGTAATGTAGATTAAGTGAAATGAAACGTCATTCTGCATAAGACATTCTTAAATATAACCATTTATTTATTTGGTAGATGATTTTATCCGAATTGCATTCAGTTTAGTCCTTGCATTCCCTGGGAATCAAACCTATGACCTGCTGTTGTTAACACAGCGCTCTGCTGTTTAAACTATAGCACTGCATTTTAACATGCATTATATTATTAGAAGGGTTTGCATCACTCTCACCGGTGGTCTACCCCCTTGTTCCCACAACTCCTGCGCAGGGCATGGTTTCCGTCGCTCCTTCTCTCCCTTATCCGTTTTCCGCCAGAGAAGGGAGTGAGAGAGGAGATCACACCGTGGCCTTGGGCTTTTGTTTTTGGTATGCACTGCTGGCCAATGGCCGGGCGCTCTTTTACCTCAAGAGCACACATCATGCCAGACTGGTTGTCAGGAGAGAGTTGATGCAGGCAGCTTCAGTCTGTCCCGCTTTCCAAGTCTCCTCCTTCTCTCTGTCTTCCGTTCTATCTTCGTCTTTCTTAGCCTCCTCTTAGAAGAATTATAGGGGTTAGAGGGTTTGAGGTTACTGGGCTTTTAATGGGAAGAATAGTTTCCCCATTATCGGAATGGTGGGAGTGAATAGAGGATTTTACTGTAGGTGTTTATCCAACCTCTACAGCTGGTGAAAAGGTAATCCATAGTGACATTTCTGTAATTGATATGAAGTTATCACTTTACATAAAATTTACACTAAGAAATGGCAGCTGTAAATGCCAGAAATTCACCATAAAAATACAGTGTTTCCAGTGTTACCCCATGGCATATTGCTGCTTTTCTATTTCTGCCATTTTGCAGGTACTTGTGCTCTGTGCAGGGTATGTTTTGGCCAGTTGCCTGTCTGCACTAAAACAAGGGTTCAAAAGTCCTCGGCCGACTCACCGTTGGCAGTCCGGAGAGACCGTGTGGCTAACTGCCTCTCACGCAAGTACAGTCTACAACACTGTGTAGGTAAGATTCACTTTCACAGACGTCTAAGAACTAACGTGCCATTAGACAGCACTGTAAAGAGCTGAGAGAAATAAAAATGTGTCTTCATGCCTCGATTCATTTTTATGGATATTCTGTGTAAGAGAAATGTAAATGTTCCTGAGGCAGATCTTTAGGCCTTTTCGAATGCAACTTAGTTTCATACCATCACTGAGCTGTACGCAACAGGCTGAAAGTTTATTAAACTGACCTAAAATAGGCAGATATGCAAGATACGCAGCTGCTTTTCAGTGTCCACAAGCTAATAGTTTCAAACAAATATCTGCTATTAAATTGTAGTGAGACCAGCTTTATGAGAATTCTTCTAGAGCATGGCATCAGCAATGTCAAGGCCATGGGTTCAATCCAGAAATGAAAATCTATAACTTAAATACAATGTAAATCACCTTAGATGAAGCATTTGCCAAATGCACTTAAATGTAAATGATGTGTATACTGTGTATACAGGTCATTATGAACGCATTTTATATGTATTTGTTTTTTGCTAAAGAATAAGAGCAATTAGACAAATATATATTAAGTGGGGTTTGATTGAAATCATTTTTATTTTTTTTGTGATAATTTAGTCCTCCCCAATTCAATCATGTCACCCAGCCTGCACTTTGAATGACTTGCCAGTAATTATTAAAGGGGTCATATGATGTTGCTAAAAAGAACATTATTTTGTGTATTTGGTGTAATGAAATGTTTATGCGGTTTAAGGTTAAAAAACACATTATTTTCCACATACTGTACATTATTGTTTCTCCTCTATGCCCCGCCTTTCTGAAACGCTTCGATTTTTACAAAGCTAAAATTTGACAAAACCAGTAAAGCCCATTATAAATGAGGCATTTGTTGCATCCAGTGGGGACATAATTACAGATTATAATGACTTATACTGTCTTTTTACGCGTTGCGTTGCATCGCATCGTGCCGCGTAAACATAAACCCATGTCTGCATTTGTGATCGGAGAAATGACCAGTGTTGGGAAGGTTACTTTGGAAATGTAATAGGTTACAGATTACAAGTGTAATTACTTAAAATGTAATACGTAGTGTAACCTTTCAATTACTTTATTAAAGTAATCTAACTGATTACATTTGATTACTTTTTGATTATCTCTTTGGGTTTGAGACTTTAGTCTTTGCAACTTTAGGGATCTTATCTATTCACGAACTGCTTGTAACACACCAAAGAGAAAGGAAAACTTGAAATCGCATCATGTGACCCCTTTAACATAACGATACTTGTTTTCTCTAGTTGAATCTTAATGAAATAAATGTTCAACAGTTTGGGGTCAGTATTTTTCCAAAAGTAAATACTTTAAGTGACAATAAAGACATTTATTGACTGTGTATTCACAAAAATATTAAGCACTGATAACAATAAGTAATGTTTCTTAGCACCGACCAAATCAGTATATCAGAATGATTTCTGAAGGATCGTGTGACACTAATCGCAGCTGAAAATTCAGCTTTTCCATCACAGGAATTAATGACATTAATATAGATAATTAAGTATATTACATCAGAAATCATTTATTGTAAATTGTTTTCATATTTTACAATTTTGCTGTTTTAACTCTATTTTTATATAAATGCAGCCTTGCTAACCATAAGAGAGCTTCGAAAATATTTAAAAAATCTTACTTTGACTCCAAACTTCAACTGAAGTGTTGATAAGACAGTTCTAGTCTGATTGGTAAATACTGCATTCTGGCTCTGCTAAAATACACAATATAGTAACGGTTATGACATGAAAGGTATTCACCTAACTGTTGAGTATATGACTAAATAGTGGCAACATTTATGAACCTATATCTTCTAATGCAGAAGCTTTTTGATGCCAAGGACCCCTAAATATAGCTTTCCAATATACAAAATTTTTTGAATAAAAACTAGTTTACACTGTGTGTGAAATGATTATATACAGATATTGAAACGTACTGTATTTAAAAGCCTTGACCACCACAGACCTTGACATTTTATAAATGCATTTGAAGTTGGAAAATGCTTTCTAGAATGATTATATCATATTTGGCCATTCATTTAAAAAGTTGCTGTTTAGCTGCTTTTGTTTGCAAGCAGTTTTTGAACCTCTTAATGCATTTGTTTCCAATAGGGCATTTTATTTGTGATTATTTGAATGTGCTTTTCCTCAAGAGAGTTGCTTATAACTGCTCTTTAGAAGAGATACAGAATGAATAATATTTGCAGTTTTTTCCTGTTAATGTCCCACTGTAAACGAAAGGCTTCCTGTCGATTGTGCATTAGGCTGCATCATGTTTCAGTATCGATGACTGAGGAGTTCAACATGACTTACATCAACAGCTTCCTGTTGATGATACGACAGCACTGAACTCGTCCGCCTTCACCATGTCCGTGTATCCCGAGGGAGACAGTCCTCTATTTCAGCTGCAGGAAGTGGACTCCAGCAGGTTGGGAGGTCATGTCCTCTCTCCTGCCTTTAACTCCTCTTCTCCATCTCTGCCGGTGGAGAGCCACCCCATCTGCATCCCATCACCCTACACAGATCTCGGCCATGACTTCACCACTCTGCCCTTCTACAGTCCCGCTCTGCTGGGTTACGGCGCATCGCCTCTGTCCGACTGCCCATCGGTGCGGCAGTCGCTAAGCCCCTCCCTCTATTGGCCACCTCATAGCCACGTTTCCTCAATTGCATTGCATCAGCAACAGACTCGACTACAACAAAACCATCCAACTGGTGGGAGTTGGGCAGAACTTACACCACATGATCACAGCGAAGAGGAAAACTGGTATGTGGAAACTCAATGATGTTTTATTTCAAACAATTACCTAATACTGGCTCAGATGCATGTGTCTGCTTTCCTTTATAGCAAACCTCTGGCGAAGAGGGTAGCAGATGCAGAGAAGACTTCTACCTTTTTGAGAGGTAAAGCTGACATGCACTACTGCGCCGTCTGTAGCGATTATGCCTCTGGGTATCATTATGGCGTGTGGTCATGTGAAGGATGCAAAGCCTTCTTCAAGAGAAGTATACAAGGTATTGTTCTCTGAAATTACTCCTGTGCTTTGATGTGTGCTTATTATTAGGGATGCACCGAAATTGAACATCCGATAATCATTTTCATGTTATGACCTATAATCAATAAATGGCTGATATTAAAATTCAGTTAGTCTAAATTAATACAAAATAAAACACTAAAAACTGAAATCAGTCATTTTAATGTTATGGCCAATAATCGATAAATGACTGATAGTAAAATTCAATGAGAATAAAATAAAATAAAAAAAAAAACACTAAAAGCAAAAAATGACCAATAACCAATAAATGGCTGATATTTACTGTAAATTCAAGCAGTCTGAGTTAATTAAAAATAAAAGCTAAAAGCTCATTTTGAATTCTTTAATTATTTATGCAATTATTTATGCAAATGTAGGCTTCCCAGCATTATAATGTAAAGTATGAAAAAGTGATATTCATTTTGTGAGATTTGCTAAAGATTACATTTAACATTGTTTTTAAATTTAAAGATTCAGTGTGTATTTTGTTGATGACGGGTAATCTAAATGTAAATATAGGGAAATTAGCATGCTTATGTTATATACAATAAAATTTACAGTTTTGGTAAATAATACTGTTATACTTTCCATCCCTACTTTAAAATGTAAGATTAAAGATTGGAATCTCCCACTAACATTGATAGGATTTTCAGCATTCAAAATGGAACTGAGAGTGATGGGTCAAGGTGTCATCATAAATTTGCATTTGTGATTGGACTTTTATATTGGACTTTAATATGTGATTGCATGCTGAATTGTCAATGGTCTTGTCTTCCTTGCATGTATTTAACCATAATTAGCCATCTTTACAGTGTATAAAGATGCCTTGACAGCCACATTATCCTTCAGAAATGGTCATTTAACTCTGGAATAATTGATTCTAATGGTTCTAAACTATTATTTTTTTCATTGTTCCAGACAGCCAATGTTGTAGATAGCTGTGCTAGTTTAATGCCTCTATAAGGCCACTCTGTGTTACAGTCCATAGACATAGTAACAGACGTGTTTGACTGCAACTGCTCAGTGGATAATAAGGAACATCTGATTCATTTTCTCAGGACACAATGACTACATCTGCCCTGCCACCAACCAGTGCAACATCGACAAGAACCGCCGCAAAAGCTGCCAGGCCTGTCGTCTGCGAAAGTGTTATGAAGTTGGAATGATGAAATGTGGTGGGACTCTTTCGTTTTTCATTCCTCCCTATCAACACCCTTTCTACACCCACACAGTTACCAAATACTTCATCTGAGATTTTGTCCAAAGCCATGGACTTTGGAATTTATGTCCCAATATTAAGCAGCTATCATGCCGTGAAGTTTTGATATGCGTCACCATTGTAATGACAATGTGATAGAGCCCTGATTATAGATGCTGGTTAAAGGCTGCACCAAAACATCCCAGATAAATGACTCATCATACAAAAGATTTCACATATTAATAATTCACACATATTTGAGCCAGAAAGTCTTGCATGTTGTCTTTTGAGCTGTGTGTGATCTTGGATGGCTTGCTCCTCCAAAAAACAGTGCTAGTTGAATTAAGTCTGTGTTGCTGTGGAGACTGTTACCATCTATCCTCATTCGGTCTTGTAATTGTTGTTTTAGGACAGTCTACTTTCACAGCTTTGCTTCAAGGTTAGAAGAGAAAGGGATGTACTCTCATCTCATTGGCTGATGTGGTTGTTTTGAGCTCTGTATCAAATGTCATATCAAATACACAGTTTTGCTTTGCTTTCTGTTCAAAGAAATTTTGGCTTAAACTAGTGGTTCTCAACCTTTTTGGCTCTTTGTCCAACATATTGTTAATATGAATATGTTAATAAAAATGTATGAATTTTAGTATAATCCTGTAAACCCGCATGGATAAGGTTGAAGTGAATTGTGCAGTTACATGGAATTTTTTCACAGGGTTACGCCGAGATCGTGGCAGCTACCAACAAAGAGGAGCACAGCAGAAGCGATTGGCGCGATTCTCTGGCAGGATGAGAACATGTGGCCCGAGATCCCAAGAAATCAAAAGTGTCCCATGTCCCCTCGGTGGAAATAAGGTGGTTAGCATAGCGTTGAGCCCTGAGGAACTAATCGCTCGAATCATGGATGCAGAGCCACCCGAGATTTTCCTCATGAAAGACGTGAAGAAGCCATTCACTGAGGCCAATGTCATGATGTCACTGACCAACCTGGCTGATAAAGAGCTTGTTCACATGATCAGCTGGGCCAAGAAGATCCCAGGTGAATGTATTACCAGATTCATAAGAAAAAACGATTCAGTTATAACACTAGCTCAGTGTGTTACTACATGTCTGTTTCCAAAAACACAAATCTGCCTAACTGCAAATCCACATGGACAAGAGCTCGTCAGTCATAGCGTCAATTTGTAGACCAAACCCGCAAAGCTGAATCACTATGGATTCCCCCTGGAATTTCGAATAGGTTTTTAAAATAGCATTTTTCGATTTATGAGTACAGTAAGGGATGTGGTTAACATTACTTGAAGAGAATGTGTCATCTTCTGAATTTAGGACGAATTACAATTATTATATAAGGTTCAAACTAACTCTATAGTTAAGCTGTGCTTTTAAAATGTTGCTAACAAGTTGCTGCATGAGGTGTACAACAGTTGAATTTCACTTCATTCATCAAGCACGTAAACTCAAATGTTTGTTCTGTATAGCAATTTGAACATTGTAAGCCATCACTCAAAACTCACTATTCTAAAAAGCTCATTAGAAATTCCTGAGGGAATATGTGGCTCAATAATGCTAATTCACTTTATAGTTTAGGACTGCAAAAATATCTTAATATTGAACTTTTGTAGTGGATGGATTAAATAGATTTAACATTAAACTTAATGTTTAATGTACACACACACACACACACACATATGCTGTATATCAAAATGATTTACCATTTAGCAGCCTGAAATCTGCAATGAAAGAACCGTAAGAACCTTTTCCTCAAATTTGTTTTAATGTACTTGATGTTTTCTGTTTTCTTGGCTGATTTATCATTTTAATTAATACTTGGCTTTTGAGATGGGAGAGTCTTTTATTAGTGAATCATCCTGTTGTGATTCTGAACATGAACAGTTTGTTTTATCTGAGAACATGAGCAAACTTTTCAAGTTATTTTAGATCCCCAGGGCTGAGCGTCTTGTACGAAACTGTTTTTGGATGTGTAAGAAGTTATTAACAAGTGCTAATTTCTCACTGCAGGTTTTGTGGAGCTCAGTCTTTTTGACCAGGTCCATTTGTTGGAGTGCTGCTGGTTAGAGGTGCTGATGCTGGGACTGATGTGGCGATCCGTTAATCACCCTGGAAAGCTCATTTTCTCCCCAGACCTCTGTCTCAGTAGGTAACTAGTGTCAGTTAATAGTTTATCCTTCCCATTGCCTAATTTATGAACAGGCACATCTATCTCTCTGTGCTTTGAATAGTTTTTTTATTCTCATGTGCTTTGTATGGCCAGTATTTTTTTTTTTTTGCAGCTGTTAGTTTGTTCTGTGTGCCAGCATGGTATAAGAGACAGGCGATTTAAGTCACTGATTACATGTTGGTAACATTCAGATTTACAGACTTTAGTTAACCCTCTGGTCACTTCAAGGTTGAAAGCCATTTAGCCATGCTTATTTAAAGTTAGCATGCCAACCTAAATATAATCAGTCCATGACATGGCGCCCATTTTTTCATTTAAAAAAAAAATGTATTCCAAAAAATGGTTCATACATAGTGACCTGAATACATGCATTCTATGATGAGCATGTTTTAATTCCTGAATTAAATGTACTTTTTATATTTTTTGGGGGACATAAAATTCAAAATGTCATGGTGATGCAACTGTCCTATTGTAACGCCCCTGTGGACTGTTTGTTGTGGTTTCTTCCCTTTGTGTTGGTTTAGCCCGTCTAATCATTAGTTAATCACCGTCATTGTGCTCACCTGTCTGCCTCTAATTATTCACCCCATATTAGTTCCTGTCTGTCTGAGCATTGGTGTCGGTTATTGTTAATGTTACCCCGAGTGTGTGTCTCACCTACCTGAACCTGCCTTGTTGTGTCTACAATAAATGTCATTATTGGAATCCTTGTCGTCCTCGTCGTCCTGCCTGCCTCCACACACCCGTTTCCGTGACAGAATAACCGACCTAAAACAACAACATGGAGATCGCTGCTCGTTTCCTCACCATATCCCGCTGGGATCTCCCCTTCTACGAGTACGCCGGGGAGTTCTGCAAGCTCGCAGAGGTGACAGCGTTAGAGGACGCCGTCCTTAATCAGCTGTTCTGACTCGGGGCCAACCGTCATTGTGCTCACCTGTCTGCCTCTAATTATTCACCCCATATTAGTTCCTGTCTATCTGAGCATTGGTGTCGGTTATTGTTAATGTTACCCCGAGTGTGTGTCTCACCTACCTGAACCTGCCTTGTTGTGTCTACAATAAATGTCATTATTGGAATCCTTGTCGCCCTCGTCGTCCTGCCTGCCTCCACACACCCGTTTCCGTGACACCTATCAATGCATTTGATGCATTCGAAACCAACATTCATGCTAATAACTTGCCACCTGTGTTTTCACTGGAATTTAAAAATATTCTTGTTTTTATAATGTAATATAAAATTATAACATGTGGCTTCTCGCACTGCAAAAGCTTGGTATAACGAACTATGTATTCATAACAGTTGTGTTTGTATAGAATATAGCATAATATCTTAAGAATACAGCTGTGAAACAAAATCAGCGGTTTGGCCAGATGTGTCAGAGCGAGTGTGAGGCTCTGTGTGGTGGGAATTAGAGAGCTGTGGGAAGACAGGAACTGATTCTGTCTTGGCTTGTGTATTATCACACCCCCTCTACTCCGCTGCCCTTTGTACCCTCTAACATGGTGTGTACCAGTGTTGTAATGTGAGAAAATAAATGGGCCAGGGTTACAGATGCTCCAGACTTTATGCTGGGCTACACTTCCAAACCATTCCAGTCATGGATGGGCTGTAAATATGCTCACCATCTGATATGCTGCCAGACATTTACTGTATTTTCATTGGCTGCATTTTGGAAAAGGAATTCATAGCCAACTGGATCCCTGAGTTTAACTCGGTGTGCTGCTTGTCAATATCAAAAAAGTGCCAAAAAAATAGAATATGCCTGCTCTCTGACAACAGCTGCCATTAATGACTCTCAGTATTATTTGACAAATTCCCAAAAATAATACTTAAATATGGTAATGAAGTACAATGGCGTTTGGGTTGCGACAAAGTCTTGTTTAAAGCTAAATGGAAGTAACTTTATCTTTGTTCTCTCTGTTCTCACAAGTTTTAATGAAGTGTTAGTGCCGTTCCCAGTCTCATTCACTCCTGTATCACCTCTCAGTGTCTAAGAGAGCAGAAGTACTCTGATTTTCAATTGACGCTTTATACAGACTTCGCCATTCGTATTTTCAGTAGGTGCCAGGTTTAGAATACGACTACTGAGGTTTGAGAGTGAGGCCTGGTCCCGGGTTTCTGATGGTGTGAAGCTAATTTGCGAGACTGCTAAATGTCTTGGTGTTTGTCAGGGATGAAGGCAGCTGTGTGCAGGGGTTTGTGGAGATCTTTGATATGCTGCTGGCAACCACGTCCAGGTTCAGAGAACTGAAGTTACAGAGAGAGGAGTATGTGTGTCTCAAAGCCATGATCCTGCTCAACTCCAGTGAGTGTTCTTCTCATTAAAAGTTTTATGAAATGTGCATGCATTTTTACTGCTTGTAATTACTAAAACAAATGTATTTTTATCAGAAACAACGAATATGTATGTTTGTTGACTTCCCCATAGAACAGACAAATCACAGTGGATTTCAGTCTAATGGTTATTTCTCCTAGACAGCAAAGAGATGAAACAGAATGTATTTACAATACAATCTTAAAAACATCATTCTTCATTTACACTCTCTTTACATTCTCTCTTGTACACACTGCTTTTTTTTGTTTTTGCTGTTTTTTTTTTCTTCACATTTTTGCCACGTAACCCATGATGCCATACTGTGGCTAGTAAAGTGCAAATTTGAGGATTCAATAATATTTAATCTTAATATTCAATATTAATCTATAAATAACTTTTTAATCATAAAATATTTTGTTGGATTTATATTTTAAGGTGTCATTGTTACAGTGTAATTAAACATTTAAGTACCGAGTAATATTAATTAACTTAATGTACTTACTATATGGTTAGGATTAGGATTATGGTTTGGTTTAGGGTTACGTGCATGTAATTATGCATGATTAATTGTTTTTATAATAGTAAGTACATGTAACGTGCAACAAGGACATCTTAAAATAAAGTGTTACCATACTTTGATTGAAAGAAGTCTCTTATGCTCACCAAGGCTGTTAAATATAGTAAAAACTGTAATATTGTTAAATATTATTACAATCTAAAATAATTTTTCTATTTTAATGCATTTTAAAATGTAGGCTAATTCATTCCTGTGATGACAAAGCCAGATTTTCAGCATCATTACTCCAGTCTTCAGTGTCACACGAGCCTTCAGAAATCATTCTAATATGCTGATTTGCTGACTAAGAAACATTTATTATTATTTTCAATGTTGAAAACAGTTGTACTGAATTTTTTTTTTTTTTTTTGGAAACTGACATTTTTCAGGATTCTTTGATGAATAGAAAGTTCAAAAGAGCCGCATTTTTTTGATTTGAAACAGAAATCTTTTATTACATTGAAAAATTTGTTTGATTAATTAAATGCGTCCTCGCTGAATAAAAGTATTCATTAAAAAAGAGAAAAAAGTACTGACCCAAAACTTTTGAGCAGTAATGTATACCTTTTTTTAAATAATCAGTTAACAATGTTAAGTATAGTAAAATTTACTGCAATATGCAAAATAACATTTAGGAAAAAAAAATGTGAAGCATAAAAGATTTATTGGTAAATCTGACAAGATTTTAAATCTTTTGACTGTTCTATAATTGAATTAATGATGGATTTTTTATGTTTTAGCAAAGATAAACTGCAGGCTAAATTGAAAAAGTCAGCAAATGTATACATTCTGTGTCTAGCACTTGATTGTAGTGAAGTTGGGAAAAAAAACTGAGTACCATGACCTAGCAATTATGCTCCAGACATATAGCACTGATTCTCACATGGGAGAAGTGGGTTCGGTTCCGGCTGGTGTCATGCAGCGATCAGACTCCCCTTCATTTCCTGTCCACTTACTGTCTCTATCATCAAAAATCCAAACAAATTGCTGACCTCCACAAAGCCGTAATAAATAGTGTTCACTCGAGGCCCATAACTCAGAAGGTTACTACAACTGTACTTGCTTTAATGTGAAGGGAGTGTTGGCAAGGCCAGGCAGGAAAAATGCTCACACACTGTATAAAGTCTTAACGAGGACAACATGCCTTTGCTCCACGCATTCAACCCAAGTATCCATTTCATAGCAAACGCTTATGCAAGTAACAGGCAGTACCTGCTTAGTGTATATTGTCTGAAGGAACCAGTATTTCTTCCTGCTCTGATTCCTCTGAACTTTTGATCTGTCTTTTCCTCGTGCATTATCTCTTCATTCTCAGCCCCCAACAGCTGTCTTCACTTTGTCTCCTCGGTATCACTTATTTGATCGCTCCAGATGTGTTGCGTTGTTTTTGAATGGGATATTCTTTGGTTTGGATGCTTATTTGGGTATCACCCTCTATTATTTCAAACGGCTGTAAATGTCAGTGTCTCCCAGCTTTAATCTCTGTAAACCTGCGCTTGTGTGTTATTGCAGACATGTGCCTGAGTTCGTCGGAGGGAGGAGAGGAGCTGCAGAGCCGGTCAAAGCTGATGTGTCTGCTGGACTCGGTGACAGATGCTCTGGTGTGGGCCATCTCCAAGACAGGCCTGAGCTTCCAGCAACGCTCCACCAGACTAGCTCATCTGCTCATGCTGCTCTCCCACATAAGGCACCTCAGGTACAGAAAATAAAAACCTGGAATAAGGAACTTTTGACTGCACATCATGCTAATTTTCACTTAGAAAAGGTGGCTTGTGATTCTTACACAGTATATGAAGACTGCAAAATGTATTTATTTATTTCTTTGCTCAAGAATTATGGATGCAAAAATCATTTGCAGCTAATTAATATCTGATTACAGTTACAGTGTATTTAGACATCTAGTCTGCTACCCATATTTTTTTTTGTAATGATTATGATCAAGCTGCACAACTGTTGTGCAAAGCTAGTAATGTAGCTAACTATTGTTTCCAAATGGTTCGCTTGTATTAAATACTCTTTAACCAATGCTCTTATAGCCCGTCTCGATCATCTAACTATTTGTCATTTTTGATCTTCCACTGACTGACTGTAGTAACAAAGGCATGGACCACCTCCACTGCATGAAGATGAAGAAGATGGTTCCTCTGTATGACCTGCTTCTGGAGATGCTGGACGCTCATATCATGCACGGCTCCCGTTTGTCTCACTCTGGCCCTCGAGCGGCTCCTGCTCCCAAAGAGAGCAAAGCCGTCCAGGAGGCCTTCGCCAGCACTTCTCAGCATGGAGGGACCTTAGCACCCTAAACCATTTCTGGTGAGACTTAGAAAGGGTACTTTCTTTTTCATAATGCAGGTATTGTGACGTTGAAATAAAGTTTTACTGATAGAAATAGCTGTTTTATAAAATATTTAGTTTGTACATTCATTTCACAGGATGTTGCCAGCTAACATTCTTCCATAAATCTTAAAATAACTACAAGCTGAAAAAAAATATCATGTTAAATTGCTCTTCTTTCTCTCCAGCGCTGAAGAATGATCTATAGTTTCGGGAGAATGGACAACAAAAACAGCTACACAAAAGAGTGGAATAGGATTACTCAAGATGAAAAACTTTTTTAAACATTTGGCGTTTGCTGTGAAATTCTCAGTTTTTGCAGAACTCGTTCTGAGCACAATTGTTTGGTTTTATGTAGCTGGAACCACAAAAAAGGAGAAAATGTTGATTTTTACAAAACCATTTCAGAATTGATAAATTGCTGGTCGTTTGAAAACGGTTTACTATTTGTTTTGATTTTGAATTTCAAAAGCTTTTTTGAAATGTAATACGCAGCGAGAAATTCTGACAGCATCACCACATGCACCCATTCCCATGAAATCTGTGCCACAATGAAATGTACAGTTTCCACTTTACCATTTTCTCTTTCTAAACAGTACATTTGCAACTCTCGCTTTTTGCAAAAGAAAAACAGCATCACACTGATGCACTCATCAACTGTAACTATTGACGACATTGTCAGAACAAACAGATCAGATTCCTTCACTTACAAAACGACAGTATGAACAGTCATTGCTAAAGATGAGAGAGGTTTGTATGCAATGGGAGCAAAGACTAAATTCTGGACCAAAGGCTCAGAAGAACTGACTTAAGCCTTTTTTTTTCAGTCAGAACAAGGACTTGTGATTGTCACACTGCAGTAATTCAGGACAGTTGGATGTTTTGTGTGCATCTATTACTTTTGACAAAACAGATCATGGAGCAAAATGTGTTTAAAAAAACAAACTGCCTTCTTTCGTCCTGCTCTCCACCCAGTAAACCCCTTTAACACCATAAAGGCCTTGTACAAAACCTTCATACATTTTCTAGAGACAGCTCAATCTATTGCTACTATTCCACTGTGAAAACCTTTCTGGTTGTAAGACGCACCACAACTACCAAAAAAAAGTACTTGTGATATTGCACTTTAATAGTTCTCTGACATATCTGAAGTAGTGTTTTGAGAATCAAGAAAAATTTAAATATTGCAGTGCCAACAGTGATTATACAGTGGGTACGGAAAGTATTCAGACCCCCTTCAATTTTTCAAACTTGTTGCATCTTTCCCAAAAAGACTCATGGCTGTATTAGATCAAAAGGGTGCGTCTACTAAATACTGAGCAAAGGGTCTGAATACTTAGGACCATGTGATATTTCAGTTTTTCTTTTTTAATAAATCTGCAAAAATGTCAACGATTCTGTGTTTTTCTGTCAATATGGGCTGCTGTGTGTACATTGAGGAAAAAAAATTAACAAATGATTTTAGCAAATGGCTGCAATATAACAAAGAGTGAAAAATTGAAGGGGGTCTGAATACTTTCCGTACCCACTGTACCCTATACATTTTGGTTTAAGATGACGGTTATAACAAAATAGTATCCATGGATTAATTGATATAAAACCAAACGTATCTTAAAGATTAGAAGCAAAAAATTAGATGTTACAAGTACTTAATTTTAATAAACGCACAAAGTATTTATAAATGTTATTGTATCTACCGGCAGCCATCTGAATTGTGACTGTTTTGATATGAAGTGCTAATATTGATTTTACAATTTTTTGGCAACTAAGCATTAAAGACCAGCTGTAATACAGATTTGTTGTAGACTGTTTATTTTTAAACACAGAACAAAGTTTAATTTGTGAAATGTTTTCGAAATGTACTTTCTGCACACGTCTTTGTGTTCTACCTTGCAGTGCATATGCAAAAGATTGTTATTTGCAAAGGGGTGTATTAAAATGTTTCCATGTGCATTTGACATTTTTAAATAGATTTCTGTTTTGGGCTTTGCAAATGTGAACAGTTAATTCAAACCATATAAAATTTAAAAACGAGACCACATAATCTCTAAATAAATAGCAGCCATCCATCATGTCAATTGTGGCTGAAGAGTCTATCTTTTCCAGTTTCAAACTTACAATCTTTAATCAGTGCATGATGTGCTTAAATCTAGAAATATTTCAAAAAATTGTCGGTGATTTTCATTCAAGCTCATACAATGATATTTTTCTTTACAGCATTGTGACCAAAAAAAGAAATAATTAGATCACATCAACAAAATTCTTAGTATGGCTCTCAAAGGGGAATAAACAGTATAAAATCAATTATATAAATACAACCGTTAAAATATTGCTTGGCCAAAAGAGAGGTGCTTCGCATGTTTGAGTCATGAAAACAGCTCTGTTGATTGAACGTGAGAACAGTTGATGAGAGACTCATGTGGGAGGGGGACCGTTGGTGTAGCGTAACATGGGGTGGAAAGAGCGGGCAAAATTGTTGGAAAAGGTGCAGCTGTAGTCGTCTTCAGAAAGAGGGACCAAGCAGGCCAGAACCAACAGCAGGAGGAACAGGAGATGCAGAGGGAAAGCTGCTCGCAGGACCCGATAGAAGAACGAACGCGGAGGTGATGGGTCACGCTTTGACCTGAAACAAAAATCTTTTTAACAACTCTTATCTCCTTTGAAACATAAATACATATGTATACTGTGTTTATGCATTTTTGGCTAATATAGTATATATTTTTATAATATTCTATACTATTTAATATACAAAAAAAATAATACTAAAAGGAAAAAATAAAACTGTTTATGTGTGTGCCACTATACCGAGAGCATTGTGCGGATTTCCTGTCTCCTGTGGACTCCTGCAAACACATGACATACAAGAATTCAGCACTTCACCACAAATCAAAACTACTCAACCAGATCATATCGCTCTAAATTATGAGCATGTTATATACTTTTGATTTCAATATTATTTATATATGACAGCAACTGCCTCATCTTAGTTAATTATATTTGTTGATATGGTGGAATGGGCAAAATACTCTCAAAACAAAAATTATTTTAATTTTGTGGTTGGTGAGATTTTTAATGTTTTTGAAATATGTCGCATGCTCATCAAGACTGCATTTATTTAATCAAAATACAGTAAAAACAGCAATATTGTGAAAAATTACAGTTTAAAATAACTTTTCTATTTTAATATAATGTATATTTTGTTTTATTTAAATATATTGTAACAGTCATTATTCCAGTCTTCAGTGTCACATGATCTTTCAGAAATCATTCTAATATGCCGATTTGCTGCTCAAGAAACAGTTATCAATGTTAAAAACAGTTGTGCTGCTTAATATTGTTGTAGAAGCCTTTGTGATTTTTCAGGAGTCTTTTATGAACAGAAAGATCAAAATAGAACATTATACATGTATTTACTGTTACTTTTTATCAACTTGCTGAATAATTAATTTCTTTGTTTTTTCATTTAAATCTTTTGAATGGTGAATTTAAAAAAATATATATATTTATTTTAAATGCACTTCTGAGGGCTGAAAATGTTCAAGGTTTTGATCAATACTCAAGGTTCAAAAATTTGAATTGACTATTAATTGATCTTAGGCTAAGCTCCGCCCCCTCAATCAATGAAGCATTGCAGAACATCCCATAGGAACCATCTGGGGATTTCCATGAACGGTTCCTTTCTTAGCAAAACGTGCTCATAAAGTGGTATTTATTTAAATGAAAATTATTCGTCCATGTGTTGGAATGAAATAATACTAAAGCATTTAAAAAAAAAAAAAAGTATAAATACAAAATGTGAGCTTCCCTTTAATTTTTTTTGTGTGGTGTAAATGGATGAAGAATGTTTTGCATAACGCTCTTACCAATCTCTCTTCAATCGTCTGGAGATCCTGGTTGACTTGACGTGACAGTAGTCTTAGTTTGCTTCCAATGACATGGAGTTTTTCCCGGGCTTCAGCGCTGTCCTCCCCACCAGCCTCAGGGAGCAGCTCGGAGACGATCTCCTGCAGGGAGCTCACTCGCTTCTGTCTGCCCTGCAGCTCCTCTGCCAGATCCTGCCACCAGGGGGTACAAAACATAAGCTCGGCACACAGATAACAACACAAACTAGAGGTCAGTCTTGATGGAGAAGCTGATGTTGTTCTGGTTTGGGTTTCTCTGACTCACCTTCAGGGTGTTCCTGTGTTCCTGAAGCATGGAGGGCTGCACAGAAGGGTCGTTCATGTTCACTGTGTAGCGTCTGCTCTCTGCATGGGCCAGGTATAGCAGTTGAGAGTGGACCATCTCGTGGAACTCCTACATGAGTGCAGATTGTCAGTGGTGAGAGATGAAGTGTCATGTGGCATTTCCAATGAGGTTTTGTATAAATGTTTGACAGATCTCTCACCTGACAGCGTCCTAGGGTAGTGCGCAGACTGTCCTCCCACCCCTCTAGTCCCGCACAAGCTTCTGTCCAGCGGCCATTCATGCTGCGCAGACCCTCCTGAAGCTCAGGTGCTCCTTCTGTAGCTCCCTGCTGCAGCTCTCGCCCACCCAGGTTCAGAGACAGCATCATGGTCTTGTAGCGAGCAAATGTCTTCTGCATTTCCTGTGCAATGTGGAACAAATTAGAGTGTGAAGACAATATCTTTTCCTTTCCAGTGTCTTTGTATTAATAATCTAAAAGATTGGCTGTAACTTTGATGCTCACTTTAAGTTGTTTGACCCTCTCTTCTAAGATCTCGACACTGACGGCAGTCTCAGGCTTCTGCAGTCTGTCCAGTTCAGGGGTGACACGATCCAGCCAGGAAGTGATGTCGTGCAGGCCAGAGGTCAGCTGCTGGGGGTCTCTGGAGCTGCACTGCTCTTTACTTACTGCTTGAGCCTGCAGCAGCTCCCAGCGCTCAATCACTCCTGCGGAGAACATGGACTTCATTAAGTGAAAGAGATATATATATGCACATCCGTCCATTCTTATCCTGTCTATCCATCCACCAACCCATCCCTTTATTCATCTACTCGATCTACTAATTTTCAAACTCTCCATCCATGTATCCATCCACCTATTCAACCTTTCCTCTATTTTTCGATCCAACAATTAACTGACCTTATGCATTCCTATGTTTGTTTGTTCTCTTATCCACTCATCCATCTATACCCAACTATCTTTCCATCCGTCCATCCATCTTTCAATTTAACTATTCATCCATCACCTATCCCTTCATTTGTCCAACCACCTATCTATAGATATCTATCTATCTACCCATCTATTTACCTAACTATTCTTCCATCAGTTTATCCACCAATTCAGTCATCTGTCTACACATCTATCTACCCAACTGTGTGCAACTATCCAACAATTCATCCAGCAATTAGTTTTTTCCACCTATCCACTCATCCATCTATACCCATCCATCCATCCATCCCTTCATTTATCTAACCACCTATCTACCTATTCATCTATTTACCTAACTATTCTTCCATTCTTTTATTCACTAATTCATCCATTAATTTTTATATCTACACATCTACACAACCGTTCCTCAATTTGTCTATGCAACTATCTATCCATCAATTTATTAAAGGGATAGTTCACCCAAAAATTCTTGCATTAATTACTTAAAGGGGTCATATGATGTTGCTAAAAAGAACATTATTTTGTGTATTTGGTGTAATGAAATGTGTTTATGCGGTTTAAAGTTCAAAAAACACATTATTTTCCACATACTGTACATTATTGTTTCTCCTCTATGCCCCGCCTTTTTGAAACGCGTCGATTTTTACAAAGCACATCGGTCTGAAAAAGCGAGGTGTGCTCTGATTGGCCAGCTATCCAGTGCGTTGTGATTGGCCGAATACCTCAAGCGTGTGACGGAAATGTTACGCCCCTCACATACTGTTGATGCCGTGTCCGGCCGGAGCGACGAGACATAAACATTAAAACCCATTAGCTTAGCGTGCGCTGAGGCCGGGATAGAGTGAGCTGAGGCCATGCTAGAGTGAGCTGAGGCGGCGGGGTTGAGAACGGCGCAGCCGGCGGATCCGACGAATGAGCGGCAAACACATGTGACGGACCGCGGGCTGGATTCCGCTTCGTCCACGGTGAAAGTTGATGTATTCCCTCAGCGACCAGCACGGATCAGCTCCAGGCATGACGAAGCGGATATCGTCCTCTTTTGGAAGACCAAACAAAGTAGTTTCGCTTTCACAACGAAGCACACAGCGTCTTCACGACATGGCTGCAGCGTCAACAATACTACAGTGAGACTAAAAGTTACGCCTTCTTTCTTTGCGTGAACATTTGGGCGGCGTTATGCAAATCTTCCCACAGAGTGACGTAGGTATGTTGGGGCATGTTAGAACGAGCCGTTTTAGGTAGGCGTGGTTAACTCTTAACTTTTATAAAGAATATCTCTTTGGATTTGAGACTTTAGTCTTTGCAACTTTACAGATCTTCTTTATGCACCAAAATGCTTGAAATCGCATCATATGACCCCTTTAATTGCAATAATAACAATTTACTCAGCAATTCTTCTCCCCAAGTTACCGTCTTCTGCCATTTTGGAGAGTACCCCAGAACGTAATCAGCGTTAATTATGTTCAGCATGTGCGCGCTTTCGCTGAACGTAATCCGTGTTGTTTACTTTCAGCATGCGTGCGCTGTCTACTGAACGTAAACTACACTGATTACATTCTGGGGTACTCTCCAAAATGGCAGAAGACAGTAACAGGGAGAAGAATTGCTGAATATATATTGTTGAAAATTGTTTTATTTGCGCACAAAAAGTATTCCTCGTAGCTTCGTAAAATTATGGTTGAACCCCTGATGTCACATGGACTATTTTACCGATGTCCTTGCTATGTTTCTGTGCGTTGATCGTGGTAATATCCTTGCTGTCTATGAAGGGTCAGAGAGCTCTCAGATTCCATCAAAAATATCTTAATTTGTGTTCTGAAGATGAACGAAGGTCTTACAGGTTGGGAACGACATGAGGGCGAGTAATTAATGACAATTTTCATTTTTGGGTAAACTAACACTTTAATCAGTTTGTTTTTCCACCTATTCACTCATTCACCCATCAATTCCTCCAAGTCTATCCAACTATCCATTAGTCCATAAGTTTATCCACCTATCCATCTGTCTTGTTACCTATTTACAGCCCATCTATCCATCCATACGTACATCCAATTTATCTACCTATCTTCTCCTGTCTACCTAGCTATCTATCCATCCATCTATCTACCCAACTATTCATCCATCCATCATCCAATCTACCTTTCCTATCCACCAATCCATCCACAATCTACCTTTCTTATCCATCCATCCATCCATCCATCCACCCATAATCTACCTTTCTTATCCATCCATCCATGCATGAATCAGTTTATTTACTTACCTATCCAACTATGCATCCATTCACTCAACCATTTCTCCATTCATCTATCGATGCATCAGTTTGTTTACTCTACTCTCTCTATCCATCCATCCATCCATCCATCCATGACATGGCATGATGTAATTATATGCTATTTTGATAAGAAGCCTTCATGCTTTTAGATTCATCTAAATGAAATGACAAGTAGTCCCTTGCACATGTGATCTGCGTCAGTGCCTGTATCCGGCTATTTGTGAAGAGTCTTATTACATGACTCACTCAGGACGAGTACCAGACAGACATCCTCGTGTCCCTCTGTGTTGGTCTAAGTGTCCGTACCTGACTGTTTGTCTGCAGTGTTGAGGCCAGTGAGGCCTTGTTCCTCCTGCTTTTCCTCATCATCCAGGATCATAGAAACCCGCTTCACACTCTTAATGCTGCCGCTGCACTCAGACATCAGCTGGACCTGCACAGTGCAAAAACACATGCACCATTATAATCACCCTTCATGCAGGAACTACACGTTTATGCTTTCAAAGTCTGCCTGAGGAAGAAGACAACTTGCAAATTTGGTGTTTATGAAAGTGCTGGATTAAGAAGGAAGGGGTATATACTCACGTAGCCTTGTTTAAAAGGAGTTCTGGCATGTGTAGGTGAGGAGGAGTCCAGCTGGAAGGATTTCCTTCCAGGTGTGTTTTGAAAGTGCCAATTCTGTGCTGTGAGTTTGTGAGAGGGAGAGAGATTTAACTCAGTGCTCAAAACAGGCTACTTCATTTGGGATGTGATGACAGAAATGGACAAAAGAAGTGGAATTATTTAGCTTTTGCAGGGATCACGAGGAATCAAATCAGACATTAAACTGACAGAGGCTGTTATTGTAGGATAGTGAAGTTGGAACTATATTGAATCCAAAAGTAAATCGACAGCATATGTCCTAATGGACCAAAGCTGTTACTCAGAGGCAAAATTGCTGTTTTTTAAAAGCAGAGGGGCAAAACCAGACCATTTATTCTAAGGATAAGAGAGCATCAAAAATGTCATGAAAACATAATAAAATAATAATCACGAAATAATAATCATGTTATTGCAATGAAAAACAATTATACGTGGATTTCAGGAAAAAAATTTCTAAAAAACATCAAACAAAAGCATCAAACAAATATTGTCATGTACGCTTCTCCAGTAATGAGCAAAGCTTCAAGAGTGTGCGGTTTAGATAAATGAATGTTATTATCTTCTGCATGAGCATGAAAGCTCTAGAGGGGGATAAGCAGGTGCACTGAGCCATGTGAGAGGAGGGGATGCAACCTTCCTGTGCCCTCTCTTATACTCCCTGAGATCTGGACAGGCCCAGCTCTCAACCCTCCTCTTTACCAACAGAATCTCCCCACAGGCCCAAGTCTTTCATGATAAGAGCACATAGCAGAACAGGGTAAAGGGAGGACGCTTGCATCTTTTGATTTGAGAGAAAGTTCTGCGCTGAAAAGAAAAATACCAGGCCTTTGATGATCCAGCAAACCCAGTCTATTCATAAGCATACCGACAGTGATGTGGGAACAAGACAGGATGGAGAGAGAGAGAGAGAGAGAGAAAGAGAGAGAATTATGTGGAAAGGAAGTAAGGAGAAACTGAACAGATGTGAATGCAATGCACCAAAAAATGAAATAAGATTTTGCAGTAATGCACAACTAAAGCCAAGTGCACATAAAGGCACATGGAGGCCAACCTAAAGGCTCTTCCAAAGACTTCTTTGTCACCTCAGATGAGAATTCTGTGATTTCTGTGACCTCTAAATCTGGAGGGAGAGAAAATGAATGGCTAAACCAGTAATATGACAACCCGTTCCAGCAGTCAGAGTCCTGGGAAAAAGTCTCAGCCTCAGACAATGTGCCAACGGACATAAAACTGGCAAGAGCTGGTTAAAATTGTCAGTTGCAATCTGACAGCTAAAACATTTCTTTGAATTATATCTGACTCCAGTTTTAGGCTTATGGAAAAAAAAAAATCATGTGGTTACCAGAAAGAAAGTCAGTTGGCCTTTTGTCAAAGCTGGCGATTCATGGCTTTATCAAGTTGCTCAAAAAAGTCTGGTTACATAAACGTGTGGTGAAATTAGCAAAATTTTTGTGAAATTTTACAGGTAAAACGGCCCATTGAAGAAGTTACTTTCAAACCAAGCAGCATTCTGTTGGTCAATGTGACGAAACCATGGGACCAATTTGAACCCATTGTAAAATCTTTCACCTTCACACAGAATTCCTGTTGAAATGACTGGATTTCGCTGAACAACAGTAAAGGTGACCATACCTGACAAGGCAGAGAAGAAGGCAGCATCCTCTTCCTCATCGTGTGAAGAAGAGCCGCCAACATCCCCGGTGTGGTCCCACTCCAGAGGGATGGAATCCCCACTCACGGGGGTTTCACGGCCCGGGCGCTCCTGAGGTGGCGATAACAGGCACATGGAGGGCTGGCTGGAGGAGAGGGTGCCCTGTGTCCCTCTGGACTGTTCATCACCAAAGACGTCCATCTGCTCCTGCAGCTGCTTCAAAGAGAAAATACTGTCATTCATGCATTCATACTCCTATAACATGGCCCATATACAAAGTTATTTGCACAATTCTACCACATTTGTCACTGTAAAAATAAGTTTAAAGAAATATACACTACCCTTTAAAAGTTTGGGGATTTTTAAAAATGTTTTTTTTAAGTCTCCAGGAGACTTAACAGTACAAATGTATTACAATTTATATATATATTTTTTCTATTTAAAAAAAAAGCTGAATTTTCGGCAGCCCTTACTTACTAACCCCAAACTTCTGAATGGTAGTTTAGCACAAACACTTTTCAAGAAAGCTAATTCACAAAAAGGTTCAAAAGGGTCTCAAAATATCCAAATACATTTAGAACCACAGTATGTTACAGAAGACAATGTAAAAAAATGTGAGCGTTTATAATACCGGGCGGAGACTGGTGAGGCGCTGGTGGAATCGGGCCACTCTGCCAAACACCTCTTGACAGTACGTGTGCAGTTCCTCTAACTCATCTTCTATCTTAACAGCGTCTTGAGGACAGCTCCTCTGAATCAGACCCTCCCCAAACACGATCAGAGCATCAATCTTATTGGTGTTCAGAGTGATCTCCTTCTTAAAACTCTGGAGAGTAAGAAAGTTCAGTTAAATTCTGTCATCATTTATTCTTTCTATCTATAGACTAAACATCTTCATTTCAAGGAAACACTGTTTATTAACCTTCAGCTGTTTCATCTTGTCTTGGAGATGGCTCTCTGAGAAGTTCTCCACATTGGTCAGCTGGAGGTCTATCTCAGTCAGCCAGACAAGGAGGCTCTCACGGGTTCCCTCAAACTCTTCTCTCTGGCTTGTGAAATGCTAAATGAGAAAAAGAGGTTCATTTATGCACTCAAGTAAACATAAATGCACAGGTGACATGAAAAAAATAGTGTGTCCGTGTCCTCACTCTGAGTCTGCGCAGGATTGCAGCCACTCTCCTCTGGAGCGTGTCCCATCGCTGGTTCACATGATGCACCATGGCCCTGAGTCTGCTGGCTGCATCGGCGCGGTTCTCCCGCGCCAGTCGTCTGTACTGGTTATTAATAATCTCCAGCTGGGTCAGGCTCTCATGTACCTGCCTTTGGAAAACCTAAAACAACAAATCAAATACTACTAACTATGACCACAAACTGCTATTACTGTATACTCTATTAAATCAAAGCTGGATATTCAAAAACATCTACTTTAACACTCCATTTCCATGCAAATAGTGAGTGTTTTTAACATTTCTGAAGTCATGCATGAATGACTAAAACATTCAGTAAATTAGATAGATGATAGGGCTGTGCAATTAATCGCATGCGATTGTCATGCGCATCTCGTCAGTAAAGCCGGTTCTGTGATTGGTAGTAAATCTCCATCACCTGCTTTCAGATGGAGCGGCATTTAATACACAGAGCCGTAGTTCACTGACAAGCTAGGCAATATCGCGTTCATAATCGAATGCTAATCATCTGCGATTATGAACGCGATAGTGCTTAATTGTCAGTGAACTACGGCTCTGTGTAGTAAATGCCGCTCCATCTGAAAGCAGGTGATGGAGATTTACTACTAATCACGGAACCGGCTTTACTGACGAGATGCGCATGACAATCACATGCGATTAATTGCACAGCCCTAATAGATGACTGCTTGAGGAATCTGATATTCCCTTAATCGTACTGATCGTGTTCCTAAAACATCAGGATTTAACATTTGACTTGCACTAAATGATGTAAACATAATGGTCCAGTAGCACAGCCATTCGAAGGCTCTTAGTTAAGCATTTTGTTGGAATCAAACCTCATATTTCTGGAGTTCCTCTTTGGCGTCAGTGTACAGGACGTCTGATGAATTGGGTTCAGCAGCGGAGCGCTCTGCTACGTTCAGCCAGTCCTCAAAGGAAGAGTAATCCTCCTGAAACTTACACCACAGTCTCCATGTCTCCTCAATCCTGCAAACAGACATAAGTAATTAAAAACAAATAGTCTGTTATATAAATGTATATTTAAAATGAAATCATAATAAATAAACAATGTAATTTAACACTTTAATACTCAATGTGCATGTGTGCACTTTAAAATACATTCATTTATCTGTACTGTAATTCATGTTATGATTATTTATTAAATATATGATGTCATCTTCCTCAAAAGCATAATCTGTTCAACTCAAATGTTTGGTGAGGTTACAGGGCATTAAAAATGAACACATTTTATCATGCAAAGCAAACTTTTACCAATATCTCTTGTTCAACAGGGAGCTGTGAATCTTAATCAGGAAAGCAGTTTCTTAATCTTGAAATTTCCTTCCATAAAGGAATGCAACAGAATGACTAAACATCTGTGAGCAGTGATGGCATGTTTCAGATTGGAGTCATCTGGATAAATGGCCATACCTCAGCCTCCTCTCCAGAGACATGGAGCAGATATTTCTCCAGCGCTTGTCCAAGCGCTGCGTGGTCTGCTGGATGGAGTCATTCTCTCCATCGCTGCTGCAGCAGGCATCCTCATCGCCCAGAAGCACGTCACACAGGGTGAGCACAGACGCCACTCTCTCGGTGTGCTGCTCGATGTCACGCTGCAGGTACTAAACATGCACACATATGTTAAAGACATACTTGACACTTTATCAAACAGTTGAAATATAAGTTCGCTTATTTTCAACCAGCTTTGTATTGTTATAATATCAGTAGTATATGTAAATAAATAGTTGTTGCAAAAAAAAACTTCCACATATTTGGTAATCCTGCCCATGGACAGTAAGACTGACAAATCAGAAGTGCATTGTGAATGTTTAAAGGGGTCATATGATGCTGCTAAAAAGAACATTATTTTGTGTATTTGGTGTAATGAAATGTTTATGCGGTTTAAAGTTAAAAAAACACATTATTTTCCACATACTGTACATTATTGTTTCTCCTCTATGCCCCGCCTTTTTGAAACGCGTCGATTTTTACAAAGCTCATCGGTCTGAAAAAGCGAGGTGTGCTGTGATTGGCCAGCTATCCAGTGCATTGTGATTGGCCGAATACCTCAAGCGTGAGACGGAAATGTTACGCCCCTCACCATACTGTTGTATTCCCTCAGCGACCAGCACGGATCAGCTCTAGGCATGACGAAGCGGATATCGTCCTCTTTTGGAAGACCAAACAAAGTAGTTTCGCTTTCACAACGAAAACACTCCAAAGAGAAAGGAAAAATTGAAATCGCATCATATGACCCCTTTAAGTTTTTGGCAAAAGGGAACGCTGCAGCCCTTTTTCTGATTTCAAAATGTTTTCACGGTTACACTTTTATTGAAAGCTCAATGAATTAGCCTTTTAAACAGTCTGTATATCATGAAAAATAATAATAATTCATGTCAATTACAGACAATTAAAATAATAAATTATTAATAAATTAATCCAAATTTTTATTCATTATAAAAAAAACATTCCCTAACAAGTATTTTTGATTTCCGGAAAAAAAAAAAATATTTTCCGAAGAAAAACACTGATAAAGTTCAGATACTTTTTGAATTTACGTGAGTAAAGTAAAAATACTTCACTACTGTCCACCACTGGTAATAAATAGATATCAGTTTAATCAAGTCCATTGAAATTTGCTCTATTTGCAAATAATTTACTGATCTTTTTAATACCTTTTTTTTTTTTGTTGGTCTTTATTTTTGTTGAAACTATTTGTGACCCTGGACCACAAAATCAGTCATAAGGGTCTTTTTTTTTTTTTTTATTGAAAGTTGAATAAATAAGCTTTCCATTGATTTGTTAGGATAGGACAATATTTGGCTGCAATTTTGGATACAACTATTTGAAAATCTGGAATCTGAGGGTGCAAAATAAATAAATAAATAAATATTAAGAAAATCACCTTTAAAGTTATCCAAATTAAGTTCTTAGCAATACATATTACTAATCAAAAATTAAGTTTTGATATATTTAGAGTAGGAGATTTACAAAATATCTTAATGGAACATGATCTTTACTTAATATCCTAATATTTTTGGCTATTGCTACAAATATACCCCAGCGACTTAAGACTGGTTTTGTGCTCCAGGGTCACATATATCTGGAATAAGTTGTTGCATTGGCAGAATTTTTCAGAATTTGTTTATCCATTAAAAAAATGTTTAATAAAAATGTGCCAGTTCCAAAAGACAATACACACTTACACTAATCTACAATCCGGTATTTCAGCCAATTAAATCTTCTATTATATCATTTTTTTAAATTTGTGATTTGCTGACCTGTTGCTCAGCCAGTCTTTTTTGGATCTCATCTCTATGGCAGATACTGTAGTGAATGGGTTTGGCCAGCTCAGCTTCAATGCGAGTGAGCCAAGAGCGAAGGTTATTCATGTTCTTATCCAACTGCTGCACTGTCACCAGCGTTTCTGTCAGCTTTTTCACCCTGAAAGGGAGAGAGATTGCATATTCATTTTGATTCCAGAGCATTATCAAATAGACCATTTTGGAAAAAAAACTTGTGATAACAAATCTTCTTGGACATTTTGATGAAAACCTGAATGTGTCCAAAAGTCTTTTATAACCTCCACTAGATTAAAATGTATTTTCTGTGACAAAGAAATAGTCATTTTTTAAAGAAAAGTACTAACCCCTTTATAAATCAGTCAAGTGACCGTTTTCTTTGGAATCTGAGACTGTAGTTTGGAAGGAACCCAATGAAATCCTGTTAAAGTTTGGCGCACTACACTAAAAAAAAGGTCTGATAAGCCCAGGTCAGATGACACTGAAACACAGACAAAGGGTGTTTGTCCCATAGGGATTAGATCGAACCATTTAAGTGTGACAGTGTGAAGCTTCTCGTTCTGTTGTTTGATTGACCGCATGGCCTCACAAACTGTCTGAGCAGCCATACCTGCAGATGGCCGGCTGTGTGATTATAGCGTGCCTGAGTACATACTGTCCCCCTGGCCCCATTGTGCCCCTGTTCATAAGAGATAATATGAGGTGACAGACAAATTGCCCCCCACCACCCCCTCCCAGCTATACAGTGGGACTAGGACAAATCATACAAGCCATATGGCAAAGCTGAAGCCAACGACACTAGTGAGGGCTACGTTAATTCCCCCCTCCTTCAGTATTAGCACCATCTGGCTGCTTCAGAACACGTCACACCGCAGGACTGACCAATTACATGAGAGGCTGGTGACATCGTAGACAAGATTGGAAAGCATTGAGTTGTTTGTTTGCTTGCTTAGGACCACCACCTGATTCATATACTCGGTATGTGCAAATTTCCAGCTGACTTAATGAGATTATGATTATTAGAGCATATGCCAGCTGTGGTAACCATCCATAGTACTGAAGATCACATCAAATTCTGAAGATATAAATGAGTACATGGAAAAAAAAAAAAAAGTAAATTAGTTCTATTAGTGGGGAAAGCTTGCTGTAAATTGGCAAGGAGAAATTAATAATATGATATATTCTAGCATATCTACTATTAACTGAACTTAGCGTAAGTCATCTATAACACTGGGACATAGAAATATGACATTTCCTAAAAATAATAATAATAATAATAAAATATAAAAAAAAACTGTCTAGCGAGGCAACTTGCTCCACATTAGGGGTGCATTGCATCCAGGGTCAGGCTGAAACATTGGGGGACACGTGAATGATTTCATTTCAATGTAAATGAGACAAAAAAAAAAACCTAAAGTCTTTTTATAAAGCAGTGAGGAAAAGGTTTAATATTCATAATGTTTCAATATAGTGAACGAGTTTTAAACACTTTAACAGTACCAGTGTTATTTTGGTATAATTTATACACAATTATAGTATTAATTTATATTTTGAATTAGCTTTTATTTTTATATTAAGTTTTCATTTTAATTGTAGTTCTTTTTAAATTAATTTTGTTATTTGCTTTTGTCATTTTTATAATTTTTTTTTCGTTTTTTAGCTTTAGTTTACTTTTTAAAAACTTTTTTTTAAATGTACTTTTTAAAAGTAATTCTAGTACTTCTTGAACATTATTTAATTTAATTTAATTTCAGTTAGGTGCCAAGGCAACGTTTTAATTTGTTTAAACTTTGTTTACAAAAGTTTACAATTATCAATTTTTAACTTAATTTTTATCTTTACATTTTATTTCAGCTTTTGGTTAATAACAACATTGAACAGTAATTGCAATAATAATAATAATAATAATAATAATAATTCAATATTCAGGGGTTAAAGCAAAAAAAAAAATCCTGAGTCTGAACTTTTTTTCCGGGGGTTGGGGGTTGCGGGGGCGGACACATACACAGGGTTATTTGGCAAACAAAAAAAGAAAATGATTTTCCTTGAAACTAACTAGTAACGTATCTGCCATTGCCATTAGCCCTTGACAGGCTCAGACTACAGATTATGGTGGGATATTTGAAACAGCAATACCAAGAAAGGTTACTCACTACAATATGGTGCAAACACATGTAACATTTAGGATGCTTTTGATATCAAGTTTTGCTGGTTAGCTTTGTCCTTGACAGGGTACAAAATTTTAATATATGGCCACATGCAAAGTCAAAAACTTTTATTTTTAAATCGCGATGTACAATAAATCGCATATTTAGAAATATGTTGATGTATTCTCCTGTGTTGGCATAGGTTTAAATGATTTGTGTTACAAATCAAGTGAGTTTTCCCAGATGAACTTCTGATTAGCTAATGTTAGTTTGGTTGAGAGTGAAAGCTGTGTTCCTCTCATACATTGGTAGGCGAACTCATGAACTCGAACGTGATATCAACAAGTGTTTTTAAATGTAGGACGACTTTTTTTCCTCGCAGCCAAACGCTGCACGCTGGAGATCCGGCACGGTGCCGGAGAACTTTAAGCCCTGAATATTGTTATATACTAGTATTTCCCAAATTTTTAGCAATTAAAGGCTTTTCATATATGCATTTCTAACTACAGGCATTAATTGCTGGACAAAGGCACTTCTTACACCACTTTCCTCTACATGTTTATATTTGCACAGGAAAGAGTTATTTTCCCAGCATCAGCTTTTTGAACTACTTGCTAACCATCTACTGATCACAACAGTCTCACACTGAAAGCTTAAGCACTTTTTGTTTTTCAGTCTGGATAAAAGAATCTGTTAAATGCCTCAAAAATTAATATAAAATTCTAATCAAAGGCTTTAATCACCACCAACAGGTCTAAATGAGGCAGAAATGCACAAATGAAAGAATCAATCAATCAGTCAGTCCTTGAATGGAAACCAGAAGTGATGAAGGCTAAGCTTTATGCACCAAGAGCTTGTAACACTTCAAAGAGAAAGGAAAAATTTCCTTCGCATCATATGACCTCTTTAAACAAACAAAGAGCTTTGATCAGCCATTAATCAATGGACACAGAGCAACAATAGCAAACATCAGGCAAAACGGAAAGAAATGAGTTTGATCAATTTAGCATTTATTCCTCAAAGCATTTATTCACCACAGTTCAGTTTGGCTCATTTGTTTTTTTGCTCACCTGGCCTCAATGTGGTCGAACAGGTGCTGCCAGCGGTCGTTGATATCTTGCAAGGCCCCGTGGATCTCTGCCTCCTTAGCCTTGTCGCTGGCCAATAGGAGCTGCTCGCCCAGCTGCTTGAGGTGGCTCTTGTTCTCGCTGAAGAGGTTAATCTCCTCCATGCAGTCCTGAAGAGAGATGTGCACAATGAGCAGCGGCCTCTCATGTGCTTTAGTCATTAACACATCCATCCCAAACAAAACCGACAGCTGTCAAAACTATGTTCCTTCTCTCAGCATGAGCCCTCATTTAAAAAAAAAAAGAAAAGAAAAGAGGAACAATTATTCACACTAACCCCTCGGCAGCCCAAATCCTTTTCATTATCCTCTCTGCTTTTAAGGGTTCACCTGTTTTGTTTAGTCCAACCTGGCTCACTTTGAACAGCAGGCAGCAGAGTTATTATACTATTATATAGTTATTATATAGATGGCACTGGCCATCAGTAACTGAGCTAGAAAGAGACAATGGCCAGTTTTCTGACATGTGACCGTTAGTGACGTGGCCTGAAACCCTCCAAAACCTCCACAGTAAACTACATGTAAATGACTGCAGAGTGCTTGAGGTTGCACTGTTTGATGGTGAGAGAGAAACTGCACATACGAGGCTATTGTTGCATATGAACAAAGAGGTAAACAAATGAACAGAGTTATGCAGTACAGCACTCTGCCCTCAATTTTATAGTACATGCAGTAAGCTAGATTAGAGCTAATCTATGATGTTTAGAAAACAATGTACATTTGTAGCATGTTTGAGTATAAATGAACAAATGCTATGTGAGTGGATAGAACAGAGCCTCTGTGAAATGTAAAATCTGTGGGGCCTCCCTTGGGAACGCTTAAGCGTGCTGTTCATTTGAGACTGCTTTAATCCTTTATAGATACTCATAATAGCACACACCATATAATACCATATTACTGGCCTACTTAAGCTCCTTACAAATGTACAACAGAAACTCACCATGACAAAGGCACATGGAAATAGACCCATATGATGCTTTTTCCTGAAATTATCTTAAAGTGACATGTTGTTATGGTTATGTAACTATAAAAACAGGGGGTTTAGCAATGTAATTAATTACTAATAAATTAATACTTTTATTAAGCAAGGGTGCATTACATTGATCAAAAGTGACAGTAAAGATATTTATATAATTCTTAATAAAAATTATAATTTTGAAATATGCAGTTCTTATCAAACGGTTCTAAAAAATATATATAAAGTGTACATGAACATATTATGATTTGACATCTGACATACCATGATATAAATATAAATGATTTTTGAAAGATCATGTGACAGTGAAGTAATGGCTGCTGAAAATTCAGCACCGTCATCAAAGGAATTTTAAAATATATTAAAACAGAAAGCAGTTATTTTAAATTGTAATAATATTTCATGATATTACTGTTTTACTGTATTCTTGATCAAATAAATACAGCCTTGGTGAGCATAAGAGATTTCTTTCAAAATATCTTATAGACCCTTATAGAACGTTTGATGGGAGGTAGTGCAAGTTGTATATTTATAGAACAAAAGGCTGAGTGGGAATTTTCATTTTTGGATGAACTTTCTCTTTAAGAAGTAAAAAAAAAAAAAATCATAGCAATAAAGAAAACCAAACTCTACCTTTTTAAGTTTCTCCACCATTTGCTCAATACTAAGATTTTCTCCCCCGTGTGCCACTTTTTTCTCCATCTGCGTCAGCCAATCACAGAGCTCCTTGTCTTTATCATTGAAGATGATCCAAGCGTTCAGGCGATCAGCTATTTCCTGCTTGCGAAGTGACACCTACACACAAGAGGAAGAATAAAGGGTTAAAATGCTTCAGTATGACAAAAATGTTAAAAGTATTAAAAAACATTTTCTTACAGTAAAGACAGAAAAGTTTCCCAGATATCAGCACTGGTAATGACATTTTATTTTTCATTATAATGACATTCATTCATTCAGGAAATATCTTTGAGAGCATATGGCCTTCTCTCTCAAGTGCTAGAGAGAGTACAGAAGAACTTGCACTCTTTGTGGCTGGTTCACTACCCCAATTCACATATGAGAAAAGACTTGAAAACAACTCCGTACAAAGGTGTCAGGTTACAACTATATGACTTTATTCTTTAAAAGCAGGCCATCCGAAAAGGCTTTTAACGAAACTCATCTCACGCTGTGAGATTGATTACTGGACTGTTAAGCAAAAGAGTAAAAAGCAAAGGCCCACTCGCTTTTACTGCTTTCTGTCAGTAAGGGGCTTGTCTATTAGTATGTACTAATACCAAGACACACTAGGGGACACGGGCAGCGCTTTGTAGTTCCCTGTTGCTTGTGTCAGTCCTAGATTGCTGGGGCTTACATGCAGCCTTTTAAAAAGAACGAAGGCATTTTCCATGCTACATTTGTCAGTGAAGGCTATACGTTTTCCTTGATCCATTAATGTCACACTTAGAACTGTAAGAGAATGTGATATTGTAGTTTTCCTTCAAAACAAGAATATTAATCATGAGTTTAAAAGAAAGCACAAGGACAATGAGGTTAGTTGATCACTTCTATTCACAGCCTTTTTGTTGAATGCATTATTGATGCATTTCCTTCAGCCCAAGCCACTTGCCCCAACACATATGCAAAGACAAATAAAAGAAAAACAAGGCCTAGATTTGCCATCTGTCACTCATTCCAGGGAATGTTTCCACCTGCAACCTGTTGGCCGCAGACACTGACGCACAACGTAGACTGACCTCATTGGCTCGGTTCTGGCGTCCGCCCAGAATTTCAAATAAAGACAGGACTGAAAACTCGCAACAACAACTCCACAAACTGAAAAAGGGTTCATTAAATAAGGCACACTGCGTTATGTGGTGACAAGACCAAGGGCTGGACGTAGGCCATGCAACGATCTGTCCTAAATGTGGCCTTTCTGTTTTTAATTGCTCAGGCCATTTACAGTTACAAGTGCAACTCCATTCAAACGTCAGCGGGCCATTCAGCTACTTTACTTAATGACGGCAGACCGGACACCTGCGCTAGACAGATAATCTCAGAAAAAAGTCCTCAATCAGCCTTTACAATGCCTGGGAAGCAACTTAAAAAATGAGCTACATAAGTAATGCATATTGAAGTGTGAGTTAAAATAGACGTTATTTTATTTAATAAAGAGCAAAACTAATGTAATTATAGCAAAGATTTAATGTTAAGGGGATTGTTTGCCCAGAAATGAAAACTCATCATTAACCAAACCCAAAAAACATTCGTTCTTCCGCATAATACAAAAAGTACATTTTTGAGAACTATCCTGGCCAATAGTATTAGTAGAGCTGTCAAGCTCCAAAAAGTGGTCCATGTGTCTCTTGTGCTATATTTCAAGTCTTCTGAAGTCATATGATAGCTTGGCATGAGTAAATAACATTAATTTAAGGCATTATTCAATAAAAAAAAGAAATAGATCAAATCTTTTCAGTGTACTGGTTCAATCAGTTCACAAAACTGGTCTGATTCTGAATGATTTGATCACGAATTTAACTGATCAAGTTTTTGAGTTCAACTGTTCATTAATGACTTAAGTCTGCTGTAGTGGTAACATCCTAACAGATGAAAATAATTCCAAGTCTTCTGAATCTGATATAGTGCATGAGACATATGAACAACTTTCATGATACTTCTACGGGGATTTCTGCATCCTTTTTTAATCTTGAATGGGAATTCATTCTCTATTCTTTGTAATGCATGGAAAAGAGAGACTTGCATGATTCAAAATTTCTCCTTGTGTGTTCCACAGAAGAAAAAACACAGTTTGGACCAGCAAGTGGGCAAGTAAATGAAAATGTTCATTTTGGTCTGAACTGTCCCTTTAAGGCAGGTTAAATTTTTTTTTCTTGTGCTATTTTTCATGTCAGAAACAAATGTGTCTCAGGACATCATTCTGATGAGAAAACTATTATTATAACTATAAATCTAGATCTATTAATATACATTCTCATTTTCCCTCTCTTTTTCTGTGCCATGCGGAACTGGGAAGTTTCCCCCCAACTTCCAACGGTGAATCATTGTGTGCCTTTCAATGCTGCCTGGACAACAGCCTCTCTTTCCCTCCTACTCTCACTCCCTCTGTCTCTCTCTCTCTCTCTCCTCTCAAACACAAACACTCACTCACCTTCAAGCACAGTTCTTCCCATTGGCTGTGAAGTTCTTCCACCTGTCCCTGGAGCAGCACGGTGTCTGTGGGCAGCACGTACTGAGACACGTCTGCCTTCATGGTGGTCAGCTCTTTCAGTCCTCCAGCCCAAATCTGCAATGAGTCCTCGTCCTCCTGCATAACACGGCAACCAGCGCCAAGTTAAACTCCCCTCCTCTGCCACACGCTAACCCTTGTCCTCTCTCCCCCTCTCTCTGTGTCCCTGTCATTAGCGCTCAGGATTAAGGCCCGCTGGATGGGACGGGGGAGGGGAGGAGGCGGAGAGGGGAGGTTGGAGGGAGAACGGGGGGAGGGCAGAGCACCCATAACAGCATGGAAAGGGGTGATGATGGGGTAAAGGCCAAACATGTTAAAGACACTATTATTTCTTTTGTTTGTCAGTTTCACCCACCTTTATTGAAGGACTGTTCCTCATCAGGGCTTAATCAACAAGAAATAAAATCAATCTCAGCAGATGGGTTATTAACACATTTCTAAAGTGACATGATTATATCAACAGGTGTTTTTTCTTTACCTTGGTAATAGTTTGAGTGTATTAAAATACAGCAGAACTCGGCAGATAAAAGCACTTTGTTTAACAGTCATCAAAGCCAATCAGGAATTGTAAACTGTCTCTGCCAATTGATGACTAATTACCCAATTAATATAGTAAAAACTGGCACAATTCAAGCAGCAGTTTTCTACAATTAATTGTATGTTTGAAGGAGTCACCAAATAAACGTAAACAATGCGTACATTTAATGTTAGCTGATTTTACACTACAGAGCAGGGTCCAAAAGTCTGAGTATACTAGTGAAAATGCTTTTTTTTTTATTGAATAAATATATATATAATAAATATATTTTTTCATTAAATATTACACAGCAATTTGTGAAAGCAAGACAGTTATTAAACTATACACTACTGGGATCGGTGACTGCTGAGTTAATATTTTAATTATAGGCCTATAATTCATTGCACATAGACCTGCTTGATTTTAATTGAGCAGTAAATAGCCTAATCTTTTGTTATCCTCGCAGCGCGTCATTTGCGCGGTAATATTGCGGGGCAAATTAATTATAATTTTTATTTAATAAGAAAAGTAACTTAATAATAATAATAGGCCTAATAAAAATAAGAAAGTAACAGGCCTACATTAATTGGAAATACCAAATCCTCTTAATATTGCCAATAACTGATGTTTTTGACAATATCTCTGGCTATCGCCGATACAAGTTCATAGTCTTTCGACGCACCCTAGCAAGAGGAGGTTATTGCAGGGCAGCTGGGCAGACATCACGTTGACTCTTACATCGTTTGGGCTGCCTTTTTGAGCGCAGTGGCACTGAGAACATTATATTTCACACACTTTAAGCTCTTTTATTTTCCATACGTCCAACGAATTGTTCAGTTTGTAATGCGTACCGAATCGAAAGCCTCGTACCGAATGGTTCAATACGAATACACACACATACACTCTAAAAAATCCTGGGTTATTTTTTTAACCCAAATGCTGGGTTGAGCCTTTTGAGTCATTTTTTTTGGGTTATTTTTTCAGTGTTTGGGTAGTTTTTGTGTTACTCAGCTCCTGGGTCAAATGTAACAACCCAATGTTTGGGTAGTTTTTTTAGTGTTACCCAGCTCCTGGGTCAGACATAACAACCCCACGTTTGGGTAGTTTTTTTTAGTGTTACCCAGCTCCTGGGTCAGACATAACAACCCAATGTTTGGGTAGTGTTTTTAGTGTTACCCAGTTCCTGGGTCAGACATAACAACCCAATGTTTGGGTAGTTTTTTTAGTGTTACCCAGCTCCTGGGTCAGACATAACAACCCAATGTTTGGGTAGTTTTTTTAGTGTTACCCAGCTCCTGGGTCAGACATAACCAGAGCATGTGAGCGAAGCGGAGCGGTGTGACACTCCGCTACGTTTTCCGCTCTATGGACGTGCGCTCCACTCAGTCGCTCTAACCGCCCAAGCAAGCGCTCCGTTAATATTCCGCTCACGCTCGCCGTAAACCAATTCCCGCTCAGATCCCGCTCCGTTCTATAAGGAACAAATTTGCGTGCATTATATTAGATTATAAATGACTGCTGCCTATATCTAGCCTACATTCTGTAGGACTACCTATTGGTTTTATTGGTCAGTTTTTTTTTTAATAATATTTTAATAGGCCTAAGTGGTGTAGGCTAATATCTTCTGTACTCTGTAGTTCTGTATTTAGGCCTATATACAGCTGTGTGTTAGCTTAGGTCTACAGTTTAACTGAGATTATTTAATAACTACAGAGCTCCGAATATAATTTGAATTAACAATTAGTTACAAGCAAATCACCAAACGGCATTCTGGGTTGAGCGAGTGGCGCTGAGCGTATTGAGCGAGCGGAGCGGAATCTTCAGAAAGGCGCTCTGCGCTCTTAAGGAAATATTACCACTCCGCTCCCCGCTCCGCTCACATGCTCTGGACATAACAACCCAATGTTTGGGTAGTTTTTTTAACAGCGGTTGAGTTATTTATCGCGGGGATTTTGCCTTCTCTTCTGGAGAGAACAGTTCTAAGCGCCATCGAATTGATGCATTATCTTCGGTAAAATACAGGTTTATGTACATTTTATTTTATATATAAAATCATTACTGTGCTGTATGTCATAAAATTTAATGCAGAGCAACATACAGGCATGCGGTGTAATCACCTAACGTCGGTCTTATTGCATGATGGAAAAGCCTGATACTCTGCATAAAATAAACGATTTTATTCATAAAGATACAGAATATAAATACTTTGGATGTTAAAATATTTCTTCCGAGCTGTTTACAGTTTGTTTTGGACAGGTTATGAAGGCAGTGGCAGTATATTTTGGCTATGAGTGAAACGCAAAAGGAAAATAAAGGAAGTTATCATGCAAACCAGTGGTTGTGTGTAGTATTTGACAAAAGTTTAGTGGATTTAACCCTCTAAGCACCAAAGTCGCAAAATTACGACAAGACGTCATACTTAATAAAATAGACTGTAGATCCTTATATGGTGTAATATCTCATTTGTATTCCCTGCCACTAGATGGCAGACATGTAGTACTTCGATTCTAGACCAAAATGACGTCATGTTCCTATTCAAAGTGTTCGAGCAAATAGCAGAGCAAGTGAGCTATCCGTGTCATTGATGCGGAAGCAGTTCAGTTCAGAGCATCTGAGTAAATTGCCAAATGGCTAATAAAAAGTTGTACCGTGAGGATGCTTTCCGTACCCTCTGTATATATATATATATATATATATATATATGACATTACATATCAATTACATTATCAATACAGCAAAATTACCTGAATCTGGGATTATAACTGATTGTTTGGCTGTTTACTGCCATCACTTTCAGAAAAGTATATTACCTTGATGAGCTGCATGTGTATTTTTAGATCTTCTAGCTTCTCTGGCAGTGGACTCTTCAGTCTTGCTTTTATCTCTTCCAGTTTGAGAGCACTCTCAGCCAGGCCAGTTTCACAGAGCATCCAGTTCTGCAAAGAAACAGCAGCATCTCTTAATTACAGTGGAAGATGTTTGCCTCTACAATCTTTTCTACACTGTGAAAAACAATACCAGATCATACAATTTTAGACAAACATTTCCAGGTTGAATACAGTCTTGAGCTCTATCAACAATATGTGTGGCATAATGTCAATTATATCATTTTGACCTTGATCCTGGAACATTCCTTTAACTGCATACGTTCTGATTATGAGAGCCACTGATGTGCTTGTATTTTGGGTGCTGTCACTGTGTTATCTCAGATCAGTGAAGAGGGATTTCCCTTTCACATGGGGATACACCATCCCCCGCCTATTATTGTGAGCAAATGCACACAAAACACACTTCCAACCTTATAAGCCCCCTTCAAAACAATGATGTCATCATTCCTAACAGAAGAGCCAATCAGAGCTGGTTATGAGTGGGCGTGACTCTGGTGTTATATAATATCTAAAAGTACAGGGGATCAGCCTCTAGTTTAGGGTGACAAAGAGCCCCACTACTTGCCGGTGAACACTGTAAACTAATTTACAATTGCATTGGTCAAATTTATTCCTTCAAATATGGTCCAAATGCTCCATGGAGCTAAAAACATTATAAATTCGCATCTTGTCATCAAAAGTCCACATGACAATTTATGCTGTTGTTGGTACGACTATGACTGCAATCGATGTATGTTGCTCTGAAGCCTGTGTGATCTTACATTATCAAGGTTTTGAAAATGAAGTAGAATGGAATATAAAACAGTCACCAGGCACATAGGTAACAGCACTTTCCAAGCTTTGTTCCGACATCTACCTATACTTTAGGCCTTAGGGCATTGTGGCATTGTGTGTGAACTAGGCATGGGCCAGTATGAGATTTTGACGGTATGATAACCGGGCGTTTACAGACTTAATATTTTCACATAAATGACATTTGGAAAATGATAGGCATTGCAACGCAGTTTGTGCAAGTCCAGAACAGAGATCGGCTGCAATAAAACAATAAACGGTCGCATAAGTTCCAGAGGAAGCTCCTTCGGCCGTCCTACACACACGTGACTGACCGCTCGCTCGCTCGCTCGCACCAACAGGAGGAGGAGGGGGCGTGTTACTCTCTACAGTGCACTCAACCTAAGGGATTCCTACACTTTCAGTCTTTGAGGAGACATGAAAAACAGTGCATACCGCAGGAACGGTATAACGGAAAATATTAGCGGTTTTGAAACCGTGACATTTTCAAATCGCGGTATACCTTGAAACCGGTAATCGGCCCATGCCTAGTGTGAACAATGACAGATGACCCATGTAGGCTCTGAACTGCACAGTGGCTTAGTAGTCACGGTTTTGAAAGCCCTCGTTCTGTGTGATATGGCCCAGCTGCCTAATTTATGGATTATGGCAAGATTACGGCTGATCTCTCATCCTCAAAACGAAGCACTTTATTAGTGAAACGCTCAGTAGGATATGTAGGTCAATGACGACTAAGAAAGACCCCCATATTAACCATTGATTCTGCTCGGTCCATGCAAATAAAGAATTCAATAGACAAGGGTGTCAGCACTAATCGGACTGATCCAAAACCTTGTTATGCTTATAACTATATTTTTTTAACATATTTTCGTTTGACATTCTTGCGACATCTAAGCAAAATGATTCAAAACATTCGTCTTTACCAAAGAAGAAAAAAGATAATGAATAAAATGATAAATCAACAAAAAAACATATATAAAAAACAAAAAGAATAAAACACCAAATATTGGCAGATTTGAAATATATTGAAAACTGTACCAATTTATTCCCTACATAGTGTAAATGTGAATCATTTACAGTATTATTTGTCAATGGAAACTTTCACATAGCAACCAGAAATGTGAGACTTGGGTCACATACATGAGTTATGGTGTCTGCAAGAGCCTTTCTTTTCCCCACAAGGCCACAGCTTCGCTCCCACATCTCCTTGAGAGCATCCAGTTCAGTCTGCAGGCGTGTCTGTGTCTGCACATCTGATAGCGGAAGGATCTGTCCACCTGCCGCCACAGTCTGCCTGTACAGTTCTTCATGAAGCTGTAGTTGCTCCTCTGTCCACTGTGAGATAGAAAACATGAAAGATATTAATGATGGTGTTGGATTAGACTTTGAAGTCCAACATCAGCATCTGAAAGAGTTGAAAAGGCCATTATATTCTCTTGACTGAATAATCTTACCTCAAAGTCTTTTATAGAGCATTGGAGTTGCTGTAAGATGCATGGCGCCAGTCCTGCTGGTGGCAGAAGTTCTTCTATGTGTCTGAGTAGCTTTGAAAGTTTCCTCGAGCTGGTCTCATAGAGTTGCCACTGTCCCATCAGCCCTTCCAGACTTTTGCCATGCTGCTGGACCCTCTGCTGTGTCCCCTGCCATCGTGCCTTTAGCTGGGTGAGTCTCAGGATCAGATGACTCCTGCTCACAATGGAATTTGTTCATCAACATTTTCATGGTTTGTTAAAGGTAAATTCAGTCAAAAGTTATCAAAGTGAAGAACATTTACTCAGGTTAAAACGACATTAAGGTGAGTAAAGAATGACAGATTTTTCATTTTTGGGTAAACTATCCTTTTAAATTGTGGTTTAACAGATTTTTTTTTTTTTTAAAAGAGACCATGTCACAACTGATGAGCAACACATAATAGAGATGTTAATGTCATAAAACAAACTGCAATTTCACTGGCCATTAGCTTTGCCAGACATCTGAAAAATAATGAATGCAGTATTCCTATAAATAAAGGAAAAATTAATGAATGATGAGCCCTGTCTACATAAAGGGACGAGCAGTGTGAATGTGATTATGAAAATAATATCAATAAAGACTGAATCAAGATCTGGTATAGACTTTTGCATGTTTGGTGTCTGAGTGGAAGAGAAGGAGAAAATTTTCAGAGATCAGTGCAGTAGAAGTGAGATCAAGGAAGCAAATTAAATAAGTATATATTAAAAAATAATATAAGCGCAGAAAAATAATAAAGAGCAATAAATAAAGTATGAAATTTTTGCATACTGAGTGATTGTAATATAGAGTTGAGAATAGTCAATAAGTGGGTAAAGTATATTGAAGTACAAATTCCTGAAGCACAGCTACCCAAAATCAGAATTTCATTGCACAATGATATATGAAAAAAATAATAATAAAATAAATAAAAATAAAAATAAATAAAGAAAAAATAGAAAAAATAGGGCAATTAATTTCTGCTATGATGCTACCAAAAAGACTAGCAATAATCAAATGTCAGGCACACAAGAAGGGAAATGATTATGTTATTAATGATATTAAGGGAAACAATGCAGCAAATATAGAATCTGAAAAAGCTTCAGGGTGTCAAGTAGCAGTATTAGCACCTGTAGTACTTATCGAACCTCAACCTCAATTAGAGGATATAATTCGAATTCAAAAACAAGCAGGCCCCTATGAGCAATCAATGTGGCACCAAAGGGGAGCTAAAAAAGACTCACAAGAGATCTGGCGTACACGTGAAGGAAACATGGTTGCACCTATTTCACTTTTGAATATTCTTATTGCAGATGCGCATGGTTTTGACCATTGCGCAAGGGGGGAAGTGATAAGGAAAATTAAACAGCAAGGATATTGGTCTCCTTATTTAGATGCAGTGATAAGGAAAATTAAACAGCAAGGATATTGGTCTCCTTATTTAGATGCAGTGATAAGGAAAATTAAACAGCAAGGATATTGGTCTCCTTATTTAGATGCAGTGATAAGGAAAATTAAAAAGCAAGGATATTGGTCTCCTTATTTATATGCAATGGTGGATGAATTTTTGTCCACATGTGAAGTTTGTGCGAAATACAATGTGAGGAAAGGGATAGCGACACCAATAGGCCATATACCAGTACCAGAAGGGCCCTTTAAGCATTTGGTAATGGACTATGTGGATATGATAAAGCGAGTACAAGGAAAGAGATACATGCTTGTGATCATAGACAGATTTAGCAGGTGGGTGGAGGCAGTACCATCAGCAGATCTGGGAGCAGGAACAGTAATTAAATTTATAACAAGAGAACTAATTCCTAGATTTGGAATACCATCAGAAATAAGTTCAGATAATGGGTCAGCATTTATACAAAAAACTGTAAAACGAGTATTGCAACAATTAAGAAAAAAAAATGCTGCATCATTTAGTCATGGGTAATAAAACAGAGTGACTTACTTAGTCACTAGGTAGTGTTAACTAAGACGACTAGATTATGAAGTAGCACTCTGGGTAAAAATACGCAAATGTGAGACTTACTAAGTCTCAAAGGGGGGAATGTAGTAGATTTTTATTGGTAAAAATATGAATTGTTCGAGTGTAATCATTAGGAATATAACCATTTAAATATCCAGTTATTCTTCCATTATAATCACATATGCCTGTGTGGAAAATGCCTACGTGGCTAAAGTAGACAGGCCCTAAGATTAGAAACATCTGGGAAACATAAGTGGGGGCCTTCTTTCTTTACCATAACAAGAACCCCTTCTCGCTAGGGAGAACTGTATGCACAAAGGAACCATTCTATGTACGGAAAACTGTATGGAATATATACCCCACGCCTTAAAATCCAACCTGTATAAAAGGGGAGACAGAAAGACATTCTGGAGATGTTTTGCTGCAGAGAGCATCTCCGCTTTATACTCATTGATGATGTAATAAAGTGTATATTCTGGCATCAAAACTCAAGACTGAGTGTGGTTTCTCAGACGAGCGGCAGACGACACTACAGTAGCACATGCAGTTTCATTTCCTGAGAGTGAGCCAGCTTGTTCCAGTGCTGAGCTCAAAAGAGCTCTTCCACACCACATAACTCCAAGAGTTATGGCCTCATCTGGAGCCCGTGAAAAAACAAAACCGTTGGAAAACCTCGGTTTTAATTACTCATCGGGAGACATCCTGTTCTGAACAAATTATTACACCACATTCTTTGATTTCTTATCCATGGCAGAGCCCCACACTGGAGGTTAGTAAGAAAATTCTGAGGTTACCGAGTATTAGGGAAAAAGTTCTTGAGTGCAGTGTTATAAATTCTCACCTATCCTCATTCTGACTGCTCTCCAAGAAGCGTGAAGCCTCACTGACCATGGCATTCTGTAGCTGCTGGCTGATGAGGACCTCCACTTTCAGCCTCTGGAAGATTTATTACTAATATATGAATAGATGAGCTCCGTTCAACCATTTCAAAAACAAATTACACAATACTCTAACATCAAAAGTTCCTGTTGCTCTTATTTTATTAAAAAGAGTTAGGGAACATATATAATGTTACAAAGGATTTATATTTCAAATAATGTTATTTCTATATATTTCTATTAATCAAGAATCCTGAAACACAATTATTACAAAAATATTAAGCAGTACAACTGTTTTCAACATTGATAATAATCATAAATGTTTATGTGACAATGAAGAATGGAGTACTGGCTGCTGAAAATTCATTTTAAATTTTTAATAGAAAACGGTTAACTTTAAATTGTAATATTATTTCAGAGTATTACTGATTTTACTGTATTTTTGCTTAAATAAATCAGCCTTGGTGAGCATAAAACACTCAAAAGTCAAAATTCTGGTTTCTATAAATCATAGCTAGCATTAACTAGCAATTCTTTGTCTTTTTCATATCCATAATGTAATTATTTATATCTATGCATGTCTAAATACAAGTTATTCTATGTGCTATATGATATAAACATTGGAAATGTGTCAAGCAAAAAGAGGAGAAAAAAAGGATTTTGATTACAAATGCCACAAATATTCCAATAGTATTGTTTTAGAATAAAGACTTATCAGAACAGGATCTTATGGAATATGGACTATGTTGTGCAAGTGCACATGGTCATTATGAAGCATCAGGATTCACATGATGAAACTAAATATTAGAAAATAATTTTCTATTGGATTTCATAACTGTATGCTCTACCTGATGTGCAGCTAGCTGCTCTCTTACAGCAGCACAGTTTCCAGACGTCTGATTGGATGACCCAGCCTCGATTTTGTCCAGGAGCTCCATCCAGCACTGGCACTTCTGCTGGAAGTTCTGAGCATGCAGCAGCTCTCCATACATCTTCCTACAGACAGAGATGTGCATTGGCATTCACCAGACACAGTTTAGTTACAGCTAATTCTAGGGTGTAAAAAGTTTGGAAAAAAGTGTTCAAGTAATAGTTCATCCAAAAATGAAAATTCACCCTCATGTTGTTCCAAACCAGTATTTTTTCCCCGATGGAACACAACAGGAGAGTTTTAAAAGGGTTTGAAACAACCTGAGGGTGAGTAAATGACACAATTCTCATGTTTAGGTAAACTATCCCTTTTACTAAGATATATGGAATCAAGTCTATTTCGGGGCTAAATCAAAATGTTTGAGAATCGAACAGCTTTAATTTAGTGAAGTTTGACTTGCCTGTGTCGGTCTGTGGCCTGAGAGAAGACCTGAACCCATTGTGTGTTGAGGGTCTGTAACCTCTCCTCCTCTGCAGAGCTTAAAGAGAGTCTGAAACTCGTCTGATTCAGAGCAGCAAGGTTAGGGTTCAGCCCACTCAGATCTAACAGAACCATCTTAGAGACGGAAAAAGAGAGAAAGATTTACATAAAATCAAACGGATAAAAAGGATAACAGAGGATAAAAAGAAAATCAATGAAAACAATCAATGAAAGAAGTGCCACAAGACCTTTAGTCTTTCCATGCTTGCAGCGGAGGAGCTCATAACGCTCTCAAAGTTTTTACGTTTTTGCTCCATTGACTTCAACTCAGTGCTGAAACGGCGGTGCTCCTCCAGCTCCTCCTATGGATCAAGAACACCACAACACTTGTGTAGGACGTTGTATAAATGTTTGTCATCGGTCGGCAGATCAATCAAATGACTTTAATGTTGTATTTAGTCTTTTAAAGATATCAACTTGTCGCTCTTACCTGAACTTGTGCCCCAATGTCAGAAAGTGCCTTGCCAAGATTCACATGGTCACGTGACAGCAACCTGGTTTCTGATTTGATTAGAGGGGCTGACTGGGGTTTCACATGTCCAGTGAGAAGCTTTGAGGCCTCCAGGACTTTTCCCACACTGCTTTGCAAGGCAGGCATGTCTTTCTCCAGAGCCTGTGAAAGAAGAGCCACAAAGGAAATTACATAATTTATCATGTCATAAAATAGTTTTTTTAATGACTTGTACTAGTGTTCAAAAGTTTTTTTAAATTTTTTAAATAAAGTAATTTAATTCAGCAAGGATGCATTAAATTGATATAAAGTGATGGTAAAAACACTTATAATGTTACAAAAGATTTCCATTTCAATTACATGCTGTTCTTTTGAATGTTCTATTCATTAAAGAATCTGGAAAAATATTCAGCAGTACAATTATTTGAAATACTAATAATTTTTTCTTGAGCAGAAAATCAGCATATTAGAATGATTCTGAAGGATCATGTGACACTATAGACTGGAGTAACGATGCTAAATATTCAGCTTTGCCATCACAGGAACAAATTATATTTTAAAATATTTTTTTAAATAGAAATTATTATGGTTATTAATTGAAAAAATATTTAACAATATTACAGTTTTTTCTTTATTTCTGATGAAATACATGCAACCTTCAATTTGTAAGTGAGCCACTGATATCTATTTTTGAAAGTTAAGACGGAATCAGTATAAGGTAGGAAAAAACATTTATGAAATAAATACAGCGGCTACTAAAAAACATTAATTAAATAATAAAAACAGTAATTAAATAAAAATGAATTACTTTTTGTTTTTCATCATTTTATTTATTTTCATTTTATAGACAAAATTATTCAAAAATATAATTTTATAGACATACACATTATTCAGACGATCAAAAAATTAGTTATGAAATATTTATTGATTATTAACATCTGTTATAGATATAGATAATATTATTTGTTTGTGTTTAAGTTTAAACAGCAATAAACTCCCCCCTTATAAGCTATCTTTTTTTTTTTTTTTTACGTTTAAGAAACTATGTGTATGCATTTTAAGAAAAAAAAAGCCAATTTAAACGAATTGAATAAGAACTTATTTATGATTATATGTTCTTTTGTGTTGAACATTTTTTAGTTAAGAGTATCACAGGTCTCATTTGGTATTTTTAGCCCACAGAGAAAAGCTCCAGCTCAGATCTCGATGTTCCTTCTTTTCAAAAGCACAACTGGACTGAAATAGTGCAGACCCATCTGTAGGACTAGAACACTTTAGCACTTAACAAGTACATGCTGAAATTGGCTATTATTTAGGTCTGGTTTTTCACTGTGCATTGTTACTTTGCATTTTATTACAAATTACAAAAAAATAATACAAAACCAGCACCTTATATTTACAAACAAGCAGCTTAACATAAAAATATTTCTGTGCATCATTATTGCTGTGAATTGTATGGGTTTAGTATGCTTTAAGGGTTGTTGTTGTAATCCCTTTTGTTGACCACTAACCTTTTACTTATGTACTTGATTGTGTTCTGTACTTCTGATCTATTGTATTTCGATTGATTTCTCATTTGCACTGAGCTCTCACCTGGCATTAGCATGGATTTTTAGGTAATTGATGCCAATAATCACATTAGAGTTAAAATCTAAAATTACTATCTCATTTAATTAACAATATTTCAAGTAATATGCAATTGGCATGTTCCATTTCTTGGGTAAGTGTGTTCAAACCTCTGTCTGATAACACTGGAGATGTGGATGGAATGAATAAGTAAATTCTCTCCAGCTATAGAATATCTAGATGCTATCTGGATAGGAAACACATCCTAACGCCAGGTGTTAAAGGGGCCTAGATACTATTAATTACTCACACTGATGCCCTGCATCCTGCTGTTGAGCAGCTCTACAGTGTTTTCTTCTCTGTCTGAAGAACTCATAAGCTCTCCAAGCCTCTCCCAGTGCTGATTTAGATGAACACAGCACTCTCCTGTGAGGCGCTCGTATTCCAGCCAAAGCCGCAATGCATTCTGGGCGTTTAGTAAATCTGCATGCACATCTTCAGTCACTGCTTGATGTCTGAAAAGAAAACAACATTAATACCCACATAGGTCCAGACAAACAAAACTTAAAAATCAAGCATGTTCTGTTCTCTCTTTGCATTGCAAAGTCTGATTCATTTTAGTGAATCAGTTTGTTTTTTCATTATTCATCTTTAATAAATGATTCACTCAACTAAACTATCAAATAAACAGATTCATTAGCTAATTTATAAAGATGCTACCATTTTAAAGTAGCTTTCAAAGTGTAATTTCAGTTTAAAAGGTGAATTAAAGTAGGTGAAGGATGTGTAAAGTAAAATTACTTACCGAGTTGTCTCCTTCTCGAGACGATCAGACAAAAGTTTAGACGCATAAGGGTTGAGTTTGTCTTTCAAGTTAGAGAACACCTCAGTTAACTGGGTCCAGGTCTCTGATTGGTTCAGCTCCCTTTCAAGCTCCTGTTAAGAAGCATAATAATATAATACCCTATAAATCACATTGCTAACAGTAATGGCAATGTTGAATACTTATATTATGTGAATTGTCATGTTGGGAGAATAAAATTGGTGTTTAAACATTGAAGTTTATAACGTTAACGGTCAGTGTATCTTTTGGTCATTTGATTTTTTTCTTTAATATTGAAAGTAGAAAATCATTAAAAAAAGAAAGAGGAGCGTTTTCTCATTTTCTACTTTCAATATTAAATAAAAAAAAATCAATTGACCAAAAGATACACTGACCCTTAACGACCTTACAATTTAGAAAAAGTACAACATTTCCAATCTTTTTTCCAGTGGAATGATTTCATTTAGAGTCGTTTACTCACTTGCAGGTGCTCCACATGAATTCGGCTCTGCTCAGATGAGAACACAGGAACTCTGCAGAGCTCCAGCTTGTAGACCACCCCGGTTGTTTGCAGTTCTGCTGCACTCATTTTAGATTCAAAGTGAGCCCATTCATCTTTGATTGGCTGTAAATCTGACTTGAGAGCATTTATCTAAGAAAAAAAAAAACACACTGCTAGGAATAACATTTCTTCACTTAATCAAAAATGATGAATGAACTCTGACTGAAACATCTGACACATTTGAAGATGTTGTAAAACAACAGTTACACAAAAATCAATTGAATTCTTTCTAATGTTATATCTCCGCATCCACCGAACCAAAATACCCAAAATCTAAGAGATGTAACATCAATTGATTGGTGTTATTGATAAAATATAGTAAATATATAATAAAAAAAAAAAAATTCTGATATGTTTTGATGCAATATTATTAATTATTAATATAAATCAATATTAAAGGGGTCATCGGATGTGACATGCACTTTTACAAGTTGTTTGAACTGAAAGTGTGTGTGTACACAACCCAGGGTTTCTGCAGACATGAACAAGTTAAATTTAAGACTTTTTAAGGACCCACGGACACCCTGACAACCACCCTATAATGATAAAGATCCACCCAGTGTTTTTTTAATCTAGTTAAATAATTTCCCCTTTCTCATATAAAGCCATTCTCAGATGCCTGTCTGTGTGACGTCACACAGACCCAGGCCCCTCCCCCAACTGTTGATTGACACTAGCGTTTTACCTTAGACCCACCCTGAGTGAGCTGTCAACACTCCGCCATTGCTTCACCGCCGGAGCAGATGTAGACAAGAATGGCTCCTAAGCGATTGAGGTGTTTTGTTGTTGGATGTAATAATGAACATAGCAGTCGTCATTTACTCCTGACATCTGAGCCACTGAAGACACAGTGGATTACGTTTGTTTTTGAAGGGAATGCGCCCCACGATCTGCCTAAATGCGTCTATGTTCTTTTATGAATCTTTGCAAATTGCCTTTCCTAATAACGTGCCAGTTAGCAAGTTCCACGGCTAAAGTAAACAGTATCATGAGAACAGCTCGTCACCCCACGGAAGAGAGGGGCGGGGTGAGCAGAGCTCATTAGCATTTAAAGGAACATGGACTAAAATGGCTTGCTGAAAACAGAGCTGATTTTAACAGGGTAAAAAGGGTGTTTTTTACACTACCATTGAGAAATTTTAACCAAAGTATGTTATAGACTTTTCATTATGACCCTAAAGAATCATATCAGCTTGTGGAAAATGGGCATCCGTTGACCCCTTTAATAGAAAAAACAAATACATTTTATGACCACTTACACAAGCATGGTGTTTTTATAGTGCTTTTAAAGCTGCAGTATGTTCACTACCATTAAAACGTTTAGGGTTGGTAAGTTTTGTAAAGATTTTGAAAGAAGTCTCTTATGCTCACTAAGGCTGATCAAAAATATATTGAAAACAGTAATGTTCTGAAATATTATTACAAATGAAAATAACTTTTTAAATATATTTTAACATGCAATTTATTCCTGTGATGGAAGTCCAGTCTTTAGTGTCACATGATCCTTTAGAAATCATTCTTATATGCTGATTTGATGCTCAAGATTAATTTACAGGTGCATCTCAATAAATGAGAATGTCATGGAAAAGTTCATTTATTTCAGTAATTCAACTCAAATTGTGAAACTCGTGTATTAAATAAATTCAGTGCACACAGACTGAAGTAGTTTAAGTCTTTGGTTCTTTTAATTGTGATGATTTTGGCTCACATTTAACAAAAACCCACCACTTCACTATCTCAACAAATTAGAATACTTCATAAGACCAATAAAAAAAAACATTTTTAGTGAATTGTTG